TCAGTAAGCCAGGAGGGCAGTCATTACCTGCCACCCAGCTTTCTGAATAGAAAAGAAGCTGGCTCCATGCTCCCTCGGCACTTGTGGTCACAGGGAGATCTCCCTCTGCCCAGAAGTTCCAGTATTGGGGGTAAGTTTCGGAGCATTTGTATGAGTACTCAACCAAACACTCGGTATTTGGTAGACATGTGCGATTCGTTTCGTTCCGGATCTAAATTCGGACGAAATTTCAGGAATTCATAGATTTGGATGTGTCTGAATTCCGAATTACAGAAATAGCGAATGCAAACGAATCCGAATTTCCGATTCCAAAATTCATTAGCGGTAGTCTGGACAAAATTTCCTTTGTTGGACGAAATTTTGTTGCAGCAAAGTGACATTTGGAGAAAAAAACATTTTTTTTTAGTCTGTAGAAGAGGAAAAAAAGTGTGTGGGGTTCCCTACAAAATCCATACCAGGCCCTTTAGGTCTGGTAGGAATTTTAAGGGGAACCCCAGCCCCAAAAAATGGGAAATAAATATTCTTACCAGACCCTTGATCCGAGCACTGGCAGGAAAGTGGAGGGACGATCGAGCGCCTTACTAGGCCACGTGCCCTCGGCATTGGGAGGGTGTGCCCATGCCGACAGGGACAAGGGCCTCTTCCCCACAACCCTGACCCGGTGGATGTGGGGGTCTGCGGGCAAGGGGGCTTTATTGCATTGGGGTACCCCTTTAATTAATTTTATTTTTTTTTAAAATGGCTCCAACTAAGTAATCCAGCGTCAGTCATGATGCACGATGCCCGCCGACCTGCCGCAATAAAAAAAAGTCCCTCCGCACAACGACCGTCCAAACCTTCGGACGGTCGTCGTGCGGCGGGACTTTTTTTTATTGCGGCGGGGGGCGGGCGTTGTTTTTTTTTTTTTTTTTTTTTTTTTTTTTTTTTTTTTTTTTTTTTTTTTTTTTTTTTTTTTTTTTTTTTTTTTTTTTTTTTTTTTTTTTTTTTTTTTTTTTTTTTTTTTATAATGTCCTTTTGCTGCAACAAAATTTTGTCCAACAAACAAAATTTTGTCCGGACTACCGCTAACAAATTTTGTCTGAATCTCGAAAACAAATCGAATTTCAGACCCGAAAAACTAAATAACCTAAAATCCGAATCGGAACGAAACAATTTTTTTTCCAGTGCACATGTATAGTATTTGGCACTGATACTAATACTAGCATTGGTATCGATGCATCGCTAATTATTATAATTTACTATTTTTCTCATCTCATAGTTTTGTTTTACCTTTTGTTAGACATACAGTTTTTAATGATCGCAGGTTTTCACTATTTTGTATTGTCCATTTTTTACTCTCATAACACATCTTTAACATTGTTACATACTATTAACACTTTATTTACATTTTGAGGTTCACCTCATATGGTATTTGTATTGTAATAGGTGCTAGCATCAGGAAAGTTAATACCACTGCGACCTCCTGTACCTGATCACTAAGCTGGCTCCCATGTGGTCCGACTCCGCTGACACCTGGTCTGTTTACCAGCCTTGCGATTGGCTTCACCTCACTCTGGTTTCCTGATGCCTGTAGCATGCCATTACCTTGTCCACACTTCCAATGTAAAGCCCCTAAGCAGGGGCTGATAAAGAGGCATTGCCCCGAAAAGGTGTTGGTGGAGGTGCTTCATTTTCCAGGGCACAATTCTGGGCCCCTTGACATCTATCCACCATGTACTGCCTCTCCCCAAAATGTACCCATTGTCTCTTCTGGAAGTGTTCATCTGCCCTCCTATCCAATACTCATTCTGGCTGCCTAGTGAGAGTGCACAGAGCAAGTATTGCTGTGAACAGGTACCCCACCGGAAGAGGTTTTCCCTTGATTAATGCCCTGATCCAAGTTAACATTTGCAAAGGTGACTATTATCATTCTATTAATTAAAAGACGTTATATCTGTATTATCCAGTGCTTTACTCTTCTCGTTTTGGTTTCTGTGTAGCCATCTGATCCTGTAGTGGACTGTTAGTGACACATTCTTGTCTATAATGAAAGGTTCAAACTGCCACCCTGGCAGTGCCATCCAGTAAGGTGATAGTTTGTCATATGCTTCCAGATATACTGATGCAAAGTGAGAACACTGTCTATTTTAGACTCTCCACCTCTTTGTGTTGTATGGCTATAACCTCTAATCTTCCTGGTATGATGGCCAGTAGACTGTTGTAGAAAGAGCATATATGAGTTGGCCTAGGGATGAAGGATTTAGACATCCGGTACTGGTAAGATCATAAACTCTTTATGTATCAAACAGAATAGTCATATCATTTAAATGCAGGGCAGTGGTTCACATTTTCTACATTAATCAGAGCATGGGCAGGTGTACTTCAGTCAGTCTTCTGGATCTTTTTAGCAGGAGTAGATGGTTCTATAGAAATATATAAGGTAAAAGAATGATCCTCCAGTTTAACCAACCCACACTTAGGAGTCTATTTATAAGCAATTAGGAGAGTCATTCAGCCTGCAAATCTCTGTGAATGTTCATTCTGTGCGAATAGAGCCAAAACTAACGTTCTTTTCAGGTCGAATGTAACATCTGGAAAATACTGCATTATGACCACTAGATGGAGCTGAGGAGCATAGAAAATAAATACTTATTTCCTAGGTTCCTAAGCTCTATCTAGTGGCCATAGTGTGGTCATTTCCTGAATGTTACTTTTGACTTGAAAAGAAAATATACTAAGAACGTTTGTTTTACTAATATTCGTACAGAATGAACGTTCACATAGATTTCCTGGCCAAATGGCTCTGCAAATTATTTATAAAAAGACCTCTGAAAGTCTTTGTAACCCTAATCACTAAAGGCTCATAGAAATGTTACATTAAAGTAGTTGAAGTAATTTCAAAAGTCATATACAATAATTTTACATCTGCAGCTTTTATTGATATTGTCAGGGAAGCAAGAAACCAGGCAGAAACTTAAAGTGCAGGTGAAAAATAAAAGGAGTTTATTGAAAATAACAATCAACAAAAATGGCAAAAACAAATGAATGAGAAAGTCCAGGACGCTGTCGGTGCCACGTCAGAGGTCAGATGCCAAAGCGGGTAGTCAGCCAAAACAGGTCAGGGAACATTGAAAGCAGAATGAATGGAAACAATAGTCGGAGTCAGGAACCAGGTGATCAGTCAGCCAGAGTCATGCACGGAGAACATGAACAGCAGCAGACCACTTGAAATAACTGAACACATGCAAGGTCAGAGACTGAATGGACAAGCTGATGGCTAAATAGTGAACTGGAGTGAGCAAAAATTACATTTATAAACATTTTATTGATATTTATATAGAACTCTAATATATACAGAAGTATGATCTACAGAAGTCTGATATAAAGTTCGAATTAGAACCGAACACGGGGGTATTCGGCTCATCCCTAATAAAGAGCACCTGAGTGTGTCACATTACCAACCAGCATGGCAGTCGGTGTTTTTTTGGGACCTTGGAAAGTCATAGTGTCATCACTTCATTGAGTTATTATTAATACTATTATTATTATGATTATTATTATAATACCTGAAATGATAAAAGGTACTCCATTGTATGTGGTGACATCAGAGTGCAATGGACAGATGGAGCTCCAAAAAGAAGCAGCTTTGGGGGACCGGTCGCATGGAGGGGAGGAGCCAGGGATTAGGTAAGGTACCCAAGATAAAAACAAGCATTTGACCCTTGCACTGCAAGGGTAGTTTTGTAATTTCCCTGAAGTTCATCTTTAATGTTACCTAAACAGATTTATTTTCAGGGTGTGTTTGAATGCAGTGTCAAACACTTCAAAAACAGCATTCTAAAGAGCACCAGTTTGTTTAAAATAGAGGCATGTATGCTAAAATCTTACTATCCTAATAAACAATATTACATTTATAAAAACTAAGCTTTTGTGTGGCAGGAGTTGCACTTGAAACCCTCTATATTTACCAAGCAGGCCACCACAAACATACATGTTTATGCAAGCTCTGTGTAGATAGCCTGCTTCATGGAAATTGAATGCGAGACTCCCGTACTGCAAGACAAGTGTGCTAAGCAATTAACCACCTTGCCGCTAGTCATATGTCCTTTATATCAATATTATGGAATGGTGCCAACAACAGAGTCTGAAATGGCCTGACAGTATTTGGTATGAAAACGTAAGTTTAGGGCCCCATTCACACTAAGCGACACTTACCTCGAGCGGATCCGCGCGGCCGGGTATAGTGTGATACCTCCACAGTCGGGCTGCATGCAAAAATATAAAAATTGCGCGACTTCCGCGAGAAAAAGGATCCCGCACAAGAGACGAGCGATGAGCGACATGGAGCTGTTCAATAGAACAGCACCATTGAAAATCATTGGACGGCGACTTCTCGCGATATTGCGCGGCAAATTTGCGTGCTATAGCGGTGGAAAGCTCGTGATTAAACGCCCAGTGTGAATGGGCACTAAGTCGACTCAAAACAAATGTGTAATGGTATTGGAGGGACGCTGGTGATATAACAAACCCAATGGCTTAATAATCCAGAGAAGTAACTGGTATATATGGAAGTTATACTCCATACTCCATAAAACCAAAGATTTTTAGGGAACCACAATAAAAATTATACAGTTCAAACTGTGGTCCTTAAATCATAGTGATGGCACTTCAATGAACAACTTTGTTCCCATGGAGTATGGAGAAATGGATTAACTGGTTATAACTGTATTAGATGGCATGACAGCACTTGTTTGCTTTATCGTATGGTTTGGAAACAAAACTTGGAACTCCAGCAATGGTATATTTTCACAATTGTCTCCAGGAAGATCTGATTGGGTATTCAGTCCACCAATGTCAACCAACATAACTTGTTTTACCATATTTCCTTCAAAGAAGAATTATGGTCTAAATGGAAAAGCAGATAATTGTTTTAATATGAAATGATGACAAAACATTCACCCAATTAACATAAACCTGTACTAAATCCTTTTAATACTAAATGCCCTGCCTTTTCCTTTCAGCCTAATGTATTTTGACTTCATGGCTAAGGCTGGTCATACACCTGTCAATTTTTTTGGTTCAACCCACATAAACGAACTAAAAAAATGTTGATCGAGGAATCCCGCTGTTAACATTGTATTTGAGAATGCCCAATCATAGCGGGCAGCGTATTGGCTGCCGCCTCTGATCGATCGAACATTTTCCAGCCGACTCCTTCAATCAGCCGATCGAGGAATGCCGACTGAAAGGGAGTCGACAGCTCCACACACTGTGCAAATTTCGGCCAATACATTAAAAACCATCCGAAATTCGACCAGTGTATGGGCACCTTAAGCCCTGATAACTTGGCGTAGGTGGCAGGAAGGTCGGTTGGATGTCTCAATGCTTTAAGCAACCTTTCCCGCACATGGAAAAAGTGGATACAAAGTAGGGTATCTCTTGGTACACCATCCGGCAAGTGCGAGGGCTTAGGTAGACGGTGGATGCGATCAATAGTCAGGTCTGTTGGAGAGACATCTGGCAGAACTGCCTTCATAAAGGCCTGCACAAAGGTGGATAGGTCGTCAAGGTGGACAGACTCAGGTATACCTCTTATTTTTATATTGTTGCGGCATGACCTATCTTCTAGGTCCGCCACCTTTGTTTGCAGCCAAGTTATGTCATCTTCCCTTTCGTTATGCGCGTCCACCAATTCGTTGAAAGTGTCTGCAAAGTCCCCCATTTTATCTTCAATGTGAGCGACCCTCTCACCCACCTCATGCAGGTCAGATGTAAACTGGTGCACTAGAGCTTGCATATCAGTGTTAAGTGAACTCCTCAGGGACACGGGCATATCTTAAAGGGTGGTGTCTGAAAGGGGCTGGTTGGCTGTGGGGTAATTCTCAATGGGAGCCAATAGTTCCCTCGTGTCATCCAGAGTGTGGTTAGAACGGCTCACCTCCTCCACCAGGCCCGAAAGCCGGGTCCTCAATTTTGCAGGGCTCAGCACGGCTGGGGAGGCAGACGGCCGTTGTTTCACCAGAGAGGAGCGACTCTGGGTGTTCTCTTTCCCGCCGCCCTGTGAATAGCGCGAGAATCCCTCAGAGCCCTGAGAGGGAGAGATGGAGGGAGGAGCAGCGCCGCCGCCGCCATCTTGCACGCCCCGAGGCTGAGGCCGCTGGAAGAAGCCCGTTACCTTGCGGGGTCTGGAACCGTTCCTGTGTTTGCGGGACATGACCGGGGGTGAGTCGGGGTACCGGCAACTACGGTGAGGACCGGTATTGTGCCCTCTTGTCCCTGTGGAAGTAGCCTGGGCCTGTGGGTGCACGGAGCTCCGGGTCTATGCTACCATCTTGCACGCCAGTCGGCCATGCCCCCAAGCCCTGATAACTAAATGATGGAAGTTGGTTGGACACAGTGCTCAGAGAACTTTCTAGTTACAAAATGAAAATGAATCAGAGAATTGCACACTTGAGGGTTTTAATAGCAAGCGTGTTGTGGTGTATTGTCTTAATTCAAATCAGATGTCTTTTATAATTCCTTCTCCTGGGTTTAGAGGCAGTAAAGTGAACAAGTGAATAGTGCATAAGTCTAAAAACCCTAGTGCTACCTCTGCCTATGACCATCCCGGAAAATTATCCATCAAAAGGAATATTTTGCAGGTAACATTGATGTTCTAAAGCTAGGAAGACATATTTTAATTGGATAGTATAATCTCTGTACAATCTTTGATAGATTTGAAAGCAGCTACTGCAATGCAAGGGTCTACCTAAACCATTCAATTATATTCAATCTGGTGGTCCTTTGCATTAAATGAATGTTGGTAAATCAAAAACAATCTGATTGAATTGTTTGTGGACAACTTCAGGAAACATGCCCACTAGGACAAAGCAACAGGTTCACTGAATTGAACTACTGACACCCTGAGTTGTATACAATCACCTTTCCCACACCCCCTGCACCCAGTAGCTGCTAGTGCTCCATTCACCTACCACTAAGGAAGTAACAAAACTGCTACTTCTGGGTATGGGGAGCACAAGACTAATTTTCTTGCCTTTCCTGATGCAGCACTCAGCAGTCAATCTCAGCATTGGATCATTTCTACTGTGTGCCCTCAACTGGATTGAATTCATGGGCCCCTTACTAGTTTGATGGACTCATGTATAAGAATCAATGTACACAGAGATTTGGCTTTTTACTTCTGATGTGCTTTGTGAAATATTTCTACAGTATTTGGGATGCAGTGTTTTAATTTTGAACTGCATCTTAGGCAGCTGTCCTCTCCTTACCACGTACTCATACAAAGGTATCAGGACAAGGATACCAGGTACAGGGAGTGTGTGGACATAATGTGTATGATCACTTAATAATCTTACAGGGCACCTTTCTTGAAAGCAATACAAAGGTTGCCAATGGTGATCACCTTCCCCAAAAAAGTCGTACAGGGTTATTCACAAAAGGGTGAAGAGTTTGGAGAAGTGAACAATCTAGGACAACATAGCTGATTTGGAAACATTCTCCAATTCAGCTCACTTTCCAGTTCAGCTATGTTGTCCTAGATTGTTCACTTCTCCGGCCTTCTCCAAACTCTTCACCCTTTTGTGAATAACCCTGTAAAAGTGTGCAAAGCTAAAACTGAACAGCAGACACCACATGAATACTCATTTTGCTTGGCTGCAAACACAAACATGCACAGACTTAGTCCTGTTGCTGGCTGCCATATGATTCGTCCTCCACTCCACAATCAATCACAGTCCAAGAAGAAAGTAGACGCTCCCCAGAGTTAAAAGTCACAGGGGTAGGGGGGATTTATTAAACTGGAGCAGAGAGAATCTGGAGCAGTTACCTATGGCAACCTATCAGCATCTCTCTTCAGTTTGCTTAGGTATGATTTGAAAATGAGAGAGAAGCTGATTGGCTGCAGTGCAAATCTGCTCCAGATTTGATAAATCCCCCTCATAATCTGTGTTTATTGGTGGATCTGGTGTACAGACCAGCTAAGCTCCTATTCTCAGGTGTTACTCTCATAATGAGCTCATTACAAAACATGCGAGAGAGAGCAGCTCAGGTGGTCTGCTGTGCATCGGATCCATTCATAATAAACACAGAATGCGGCTTTTTAATCTAGAGAGTGGCTACTTTCTTCTTAGACTGTGATTAGTAAATAAAGCACAGATCGTAGAAGCTAGTAGAAGCTAGCCGTGTATGAGGCGCGCCCTCTGCTGCTCACACGGGGAACATACAGGCACCGGTCACTTGTTCTCGCGGGATAAGTCGTATTCAACAGTGGAATCAGGGAAGCCTCGCGAGATGTCTCAGGTTGCCTAGAAACGGAGGAAGCCGAAGAGGACGCAGAGGCGAAAGCAGCACCTGGGAGCCCCTGTGTCGAGCTAGAGAATGTGTGGCCAGGACTCGGGTGAGACATACCAGGGGACACGAGTCTCTACTCTCTTCTATCCACATTTATATATAAATATACATGTATCGTAATGTAAAGGGCACCTGTCTGTCCTCTTCTCTTATCAGTCACAAAGTATCATGTCTGTCATACAGATGGCACACTGATCGTGCTATCCTCACTATGCCACAGGAGTCAGGGCTATGCTCACTCCTCCAGCTTTCACATGGCAGCGATGGTTCCTGCCGATTGGCTACTCAGGACGGTGGAGATCGCAGTGAACGTACAGGACACTTACTGCGGTTGCTGCAAAGTGAACCTGGCACTTTATTAATGTGGGTCACTATTAAAAGCCCAACTCCAGGATAATTGTTTCATTTAAAAAATCAGCAAGTTCAAGCAGAACTCTGGGTAAAATCTACATTCAAAAATAATAAAGTTATACTCACTCGATCCTCCAAGCCAGCGTGCTCTCAGACCGGCCCCTGAAGCCTCTCCGCTGCAGCGATGGTATGTCCCTCGGCGTCTTCACGTCCTGTACACTGTATATTGAGTGTGATGTCACACAGGACCTTAGAGCGCTGCAGCGGAGGGGGAGCGAGGCAGAATGGACCAATCTAAGAGCAAGCCGGCTCAGAGGATCAGGTGAATATAACTTTGTTAATTTTTAACCTAGTCCTTAGACAAAAATGGGCATTCAACCTTTGCATTGCAGGGGTAGCCCCACTGCAAGGGTTAAGAAGAAAATTCTGCTTCAAAAATGCAGCTCTGGCTGCAATACTCCGCTGCTCTCTGGCAGTGTTTCCTACAGGCATTCCTTTCTGCCGCACAATGTCTTTAGTCTTCTAAGTTCAGTGTTGCCCAGCATTATTTAACCTGAAAGAATCAAGACATACTTTCAGTGCAGGTCATCTTGTGCCCATTCACCCCTCCCTCCCCTCGCCATGCTGCCCTGCACCCACACTGTAATGATGCAAAGAGCAGCACTGACAGCATCACATGAGTGTAGCTCTGTATATCTTGAGGGCCGCCAACCGCCGCAGAAGATCAAGGGAGGAAACAGAGACTGAATATGATATGATCAACCTAAAGACATCTGGAGGGTAGGCTGGCCATACACTTAGGCTAGGTTCACATTGCGCGATTTGCAAATCGCACGTTTGTCGCGCGATTTTCATTTTGCGCGATATCGCGCAAATGCTTGCATTGAGCAAGCGAGAATCGCGGCAAAATCCGCTCCAAAAAGGGTCCTGCTGTAGCGACACACGACCCGCGACAGCAGGACCCTTTGCCCCATTGAGATGCATTGAAGAGCGATATCGCGCGGTAAATAGCCGCGATATCGCGGGAATTACCGCGTGATAAATCGCTCAATGTGAACGGGGCCTTAGGGAGCTATTCACTAAAGAGCCGAAGGATCCAGCCCGTACAGCAGACGAAGGCTTTACAATAGCCCCTACAGCAGACGAAGGCGGCCGAGCCGAAGGCACATCCTTCGGCTTGAAGGCCGCCCATTCTCCACGCAAATGACAGCTGGGCGGAGCCAGCCGTGATCCTACAGCTCGCTCCGCCCAATTGTAATAACAGATCAGCGTCCCCAAATGACCTGGGGATGCTGATCTGTCATTAAACAATAACAACTGGGCGGATCCGGCTGTGGCCAGTTGTTATTCATTGGCCTGGCCCTGCTAGAAGACTCTAGCAGGATGATGGCCAATAGGAAACAGTTGGGCGGAGCTAGCAGTTACAGCAATTGTTTTTTTAAATGTATTTAATTTTCTTTTCTTTAAAATATTTTTATTTTTTTCTTAAGTTTCCTATTTTTTAATCATTTTTAAAATCATTTTGCAACTTTTTTTTTCACATTCTTTACACTTCCTTTATATTCTGCTTGGTACCTCGGAGGCACCGAGCAGAATAGCGACCCGAATGCCGCTATGAGAATAGGGTGAGCTGCCGGAGCTTCGGCTCAGCTGAACATGCTGACCGAAGGCAGCCGATGTATGGCTGAAATCAGCTGTACAAGCCAGAAGTGAATAGCCGAACAGTGTTTGGCGCACTTCACTGCGGCTGGGTTATTCACTCGGCTGCCTTTGGCAGTTTTGGCCCTTACAGTTTTTACTCATTCAGTCCCACAGGCTGAATGAGAAAAAACACTTGATTCAGTGGATGGGAGAATTCCCCCACTGGACTATTTTATTCTGATGTAGCGCTGTCAGAATTATTAGCCAACAGTGACTGCAACTGATTGGCTCGAGTCACTTTTTTCAGACTGGCTCCAACAAAAAGTTATTACGAAATCGATATTTGTCAAATAGAGAAGTGCTAACTGGGTCACATACTGCTTGAATTTCACCCTACATCTTAACCAACATTGGGGCACAGAGTAAACGCAAGCAGCTACCAGTCAGGCTTTGCAATCACAGGATGTATAGCATGAGGGAGGCTGAGCAGCCACATGAGTTGCATGGTGTCGCTGGCAATAGCGGGCAGTTTTCCGATGCTGATTGCGGGACAACTGGAGCACAGACAGCAGTCACCACTAATGCTATGTACTTATCATAACAGAGTGATTCTGGGGCGAAATTCCACTTTTAAAAAAGCATAACACAATCCCAATGCCAGGGGACAGAGGTGAGTGGGGGATTGGATTGGGGGAGTTCATTTGGGCATGATCTGTATGATCCCCTCACCTCCCAATCCAGATCTCTTCAGATGCAGATTTTGGTTCCGGCATGCTCCTGCTCTCTGAAGCTGACTAGTTGTCAGAGTGTCAGAATAATTGCTGGAGACATTTATTGGTATGCAGGAGCCGGAGGTGTGCCAGGACTTCAATGATGAATATCTCTGCATGGGGGGCATGGATGTGAACGGAATGTACACACATCTCACCCTCCAGGGATTTGAATTGAGGGGACTTTTTGGCTTTTGCACCCTTGCAGTGCTCTAGATGGGAACGCCGGTAAATGCAAACCAGTATCCAATGCATTGTATTGCACCGGCAGCATTTCTCCTGCAGCTTGACAGCCCCCCTAACAAAGTTCAAATAAGACAGAAGGCAGCCATGTTACAAATAGCATTCAGGCTCTGCACTACCCTGTCTTCTAGTTGTGATATGTAAACTGAGCCATACCAGTACAAACCATTGGATGAGTCAGTTGCATGACAGTTATCGAGGGGTGAGAATGTCCTGCCAAGTTCTTGTAAAATAGGGGTAGACAAACCTCAAATCCAGCAACAAAACTACAAATCCCATTTAAAAATTCTGACAGCCACAGGCATGACTTCCAGAGGCAGATGCATGATGGAATTTGTAGCTGGAGGGCCGAAGTTTGCTTACCCCTGTTGTAAAGAAAGACAGTACAGACAGCCATTGGTACAGAGTATTATAGGTCTGAGGCCAGAGCTGGATTTATGCTTAGCTGGAATCGTCCTTTTTTTAGTTACTCCAGTCATTTACTTATGATAATTGTAATGAATTTGATTTTAGTATGTAGTGGTTTGAGACCTTTTCCTCACTTTACTCTTGCCAGTACTGATAAAATAAAGACTGATGCTATGCCTTTTAATAGTTTATTTTATCTATACATCTTGTGATTTCAGCTGGTGTAGGCTAACATATTTCTGATGTGCTTCTAATGCCTGGACAAATGGCTCTTGTTGGAGAAGTGCATGTGGTGCCTAGTGGTAAGGTCTACAGACAGATCTTCGATGCAGAGGTGGGTATAACCAACAACTGGCCTCTTTCTTGCGGGCTCTGTCTGTTCCATCTCCCTGGATCCCCTACTGAGGCGGATCAGAAAATACAGTATGTGACATTCATGATTTTTCCTCCATCTTGAGATTGGAAAAAAACTGACCCATGTAATGACTCTGGTTGGCCGCTGTGAACGGATCTGCATCCACCTTTATCTGCTGACATCTATTCAGGTTGCTAAAAAGCTGACTTGGATGCAAACCTTTTGCATTCAGTTCAATGGTCCTAAACAGAACCGGAAGGTGCAGATATAGTAGAAGCACGCATGCACATCCACTTACATCAGGGGTGTGCAACATTGGCCCTTCAGAGCTGCAAGTCTCAGGAGGCATTGCAAGACTGACAGTTACAGGCATGACTCCCTGAGACAGAAGCATGTTGGGATTTGTAGTTAAAGCACAGGTGGAGGGCCGAAGTTGCCCACCGCTGACTTATCCCCAGTTGCCCATAGGGATGTATTGAAGCCTGTTTTGGATCCGTGTATTCACAGGTCAAAAATGGACTGACAGAACACACGTGGGAAAGGGGCAATAATGGCAAATAGAGGAAAGGACAGGCAAGACAAGTCATAACTGTCAACTTATATATATCCACAGAAATTAGATTTTTGCACATATCAATTTACTTTGAGTACATTATTTACAATAACAGAGGGTTCACACGGTCGCGCTGTGTTATTTATTTGGAATATTTACAATGGACTGTCTAACACACCAAATCACACGTATGCTAGTGTTGCCCCATGTTGTGCTTCGCTGCTTCACCACAAGTGTGTTGAGAAGGTGCATAGGATGCCATTCATAATGAATGACACTGCGTCACACCAAAGAGTGTAACACATAATCGTGCATTCTGTTAGTGTGTGCGTTATCACAGCATATCAATGTGGACAAGAACTACAGCAAACCTGACATTAAAGCCCAGCTGAAGTTAATTTTTTTAAGGTACATTTTTTTTTATTTTTTAGATCTGTGCTTTTGTATACAATATTTTAATTACAAACAGCATATATGAATAATAGGTTCACTGCACTATAAATACAGAAACATTAATTAATATATAAATACACATACATAAGCAATAATTAATGTGCAAAGCAACAATAAATCCACAAATATCAACAACTCATCTCCATCAAACTATTAGTGCAAACATAAGATTGATATCATTAGTCCCAGTTATATATATCTAGAAAGTATATAGAGAAAATTGCAAAGACAGTGCTTGAAATCTTCAGAGTCTTCTTCCAGTACTTAACCACCAATGGACTGATTCTTCTGAATAAAACAAACTCCTTTAAATAAGGTGGGCCACTAATTGCAATTGTCAAATTGCTTTCAATGTCTCCCCATGACATGACATAATGACATTCATATGTACAGTATAGCTAGAAATAATTGTAAAACTATAGATTTAGAAGTAAACATTCCCTATAAACCTATGCTGATGTGTTGTGCTCTCCTGTTTAGGTCCAGCTGGTGCGGTCTCTTGGTGAGGCACGGGCTCGGGTGGCGCAGCATGGAGTTAGCTTGGACAGTGCAAAGATTCCTCTGGTGCGAGATGAGACACATTCAAGTGGATTGTTGTCCCATCGCCAGCGTGAGTGGGTGGACAGTATGCCATACGATTCCTACAGTGAAAACCCAGTTGTGTACAGGTGAGAAGGAAGGGGTGCAATTTCTTCCTGAGGTTTTGAACGGGCCTCCTTGGGTGTAGGTTAGAACAGCAATGTATGGCTAGTGTACAAAGATGTTGTTAGGTGATGGCACCTTGTGGGACCTGCTATACAGCATCACGCTTACAATGCATTTTTTCTCTTGTACAGATTTACATTAAACGGTTTTACAAATAAAAACTATTTAGGAAGTCCAAACAGTTTATCTGTTTCACTAAAAGTGTATGTTTAGTCATTTTGTTTCTCTGTTAGTTTCAGATAGTGTAGGTGTCACAGACTGGGTAATGAAGGTACAAAAGATGAGGGAGGTTGGACAGTGCACAAGGTATTGTCATCTGTCATGTGACCTAGGGAAATTGAATGACAGCTTATCTCGGGAACCCAAAGTTCCCCAATCTGGACACAGAAAACAACTGAAAACAGCATGCACACACTAGGCCATCGATTCACAGTGTAGAATTCTGCCACTGGTATGCCAGAATGGCTGTCTTGTTCTCTGTCAGCCAACACCTGCAATTACAGAGAACACGAAGGCACAGCCACACTATACTGTCTCATACTGATTAGCAGCAGAGTACCACAGAACCTGGCGATGCAATACAACAGTATCTGTATGCTTAGTTGTATATTTGCTGCTGACACGTGTGAGATTGCATCATGTGGTTGCCAACCTTGTGTCCTCTGTAATTGCAGCAGTTGGCTAACAATATTTATCAGGATTCCTCCCATCAAAAGATATCCAGCTAGTAGTTGCCTTCAGAGCCAAAAGGAAACAGGATGGACTTTTGGATGGCACCTGACTGGTTTCCGGGCCTTGCCAGATGCCATTGAATATTCTGTCCTGTGTTAGTCCTGTGCCTGTTGTGCAACTGCTAGCCATGCATCTGGATATCTTTGGACCAGATGAATCATGATCAATATTGTGAGCATTTACACTGAGTTCATTTATGCATACAGACTATACAGAGATCGTGTTCATGTTTGGATTGTGAGTACACCTTGCACATGGATTATGTACGTTTGATTTATGGAGCCTCTGAATGTATAGGGGGGGGGGACACAGGAAGCAATACGTTTTGACACCTAGAATACTTTTTAGCAGACATCTTTTTTTTGACGTGACTGCTGGTTTCACCTTTGATATACCACATTGTGGGTGCTTGCATAAGAGAGCATATGTATGTCTTATTAGAGTGAACAGTCGCCTTGGGACATTATCAGATGTGGAAAATTCCAACTATAATAGAGAATGTGATATGGCAGCATATGGCAGAACATTATATAATGTAGAAACACTAAACTTGCGGTGATACTGCAAAAGCTGTTGTGACAGGACTCTATATCAACTTGTTGGATAGGCATCTTCTGGAATAAAACATGTACATGTGATTTACCTAGGTATACATCTGTTCTGGATACAACTACAATGTTTTCCAGCCTATGTTCAACCATTGAATCCATGTTGATGTTGTTTTACACAATATTTACAGTTTTCAAAGGTCTGCTAGTGGGATATTGCGTAAGCAGATGTGCATTGGGGTACAATGGTGACAGATACTTGTAAAGCTCTTCGATTTTGCATATCGCCATATCCTTCTGGATTTGTGTATCCGATATCTACCTCTCCTCAACAAGCCACTTCATTCACACTAGAGCACTAGAACTAGGTATATTAGTGAAAAAATACAGACATTTCTTTCTCGTCCTCTGAGGTGCATTCACCTTCTGCTTAGACTGCCATCTACAAAAAGATTGGACATTGGCAAACAAAAAACTTTAGTCCAGCCCTGGGTAACCCCTCTTACTACCAGTGTGCCTCTGTTGTTTGCTAGTGTTCTCGGAGGATGGATGCCTTTTCTTCAGCTATGCTGTGTAAGGCTAGCCTGTTTTTGCTAGCACCATTTTTTCTTTACTGACAATTTTTCTTCATTCAAGACTGTTCTCCACACTGCTGATAGAGCTGATTCCTCTAATTGTAGCTATCTGGTGTGGCCGCCCTCAGCCTGGCTTTTGCTGAACTGGACATTTCCTGACTCTTTTCTGGTAAAAGTTAGCCACATAGCACTTTCTAGGTCCAGAGCTGCTGGCATCGCCTTAGTGCTCGCCCTGTCTCTGAAGATTCACTGTATGAGTGTGCTCACTGGGTGTCTTTAAACTTCCCCATTCCTGCCGGTTTCCACCATAGAAAGGGTTAACGTTATGGAACTTCCCATGCTCTTTCCCACTATTCAGCATTGAAGAAGTATCTCCCCATTGGTGCTTTGCAAAGAACCACGAGGAACTTTGATCTTGATCTGCCCCTGTTACTGTCAGGATCCAGAGCGCCTCCAGGGTGCGGTTCCAGCACCACCCAGTAGTGGTCCGATACCTGACAGTTCCTGGCTGCCTGAAGACACCTGCAGGCGAGCGCAGGAACTGCAGGTACTGGCGCCAGCGCCCCCTGGAGGCGCTCTGGATCCTGACAGTTACCCACTACAGTAGCTTTTGTCAGCTACAGCCACCCAACCCTGCTGCTTTGGTTTCATGAGTACGTAAGAACGTGCCCTGATCTCTAAGTTGCCTTACTGTGTTTGCTTATTGGCTTTTTGGCATCTAGCTACTGTTTCCAAGATTTGCAATGCTGCTGTTCTTATTTTAAAATGTTCTTTAGGTATAAGGCCCTTTAGTCGACTCTTTGAACTGCAGGCAGTTCCCACTGTTTTTGTTGTTATCTTTGGGGGGGGTGTTAGCATTTGTTGCTGTGTTGTCTATAACTTAATTGGACTACTTTTTTTGCATTCCAAGGGTGAATGACTTCTTGTGTCCCTCAATGGACGAAAAAGAATGTAGGATTTTAGTACTCAGTGCAAAATCCTTTCCATTGAGGGGCACAGGTCCCACTCCTCTGTGCTTATGATTAGGGCTGCAACAACTAATCGACATAATCGATTATAATCGATTATTGAAAAAGTTGTCAACTTTTTCAATAATCGATTAAATTATGCTCTCAGTAGTGCTTGCTACAAAACGTAGGTGTGCTGGTAGTAGGAGGGGTTATCCTGGGCTGACCTACAGTTTTTTAGTCTTACAGGCTTCCTGTGTCCCTCAAGAAAAGGTTTTTATGCTGAGTACAGAAAGTACTCAAAGTACTCATAATCACCATAGTGCTTCTCTCTTTTTCAAGACTGCTGCATACTCCTGAGGTTTCAGCTTTCTGTTCAGCGAGGAGGGCCTTTTTTTTTACTTATTGTCCATCTTTTAGGGGCAGGGACGAGGTTTGCCGCATTGCCTAATGCTCTCACAAGAAAGGTATTTTGCAGTGCTAACATGTTAAAAATCTCTTTATTTTGTTATTTCACGCAGAGAATTAAAAACCTGAACAAGAGAACTTGCACATTACACAGTGATTAACAGTAGGCTGAAAACTATGGTCTTGGTCTTTAGACATGCATACATATATATACATTTGGACTGTAGGTATAAGTATAAAGACTATGGTTTTCACCAGTTCTATTAATTATTTTCTTTGACGTTTCAAACACTGTAAAAGCCTCTTATTTTCTTCAGGGAGAAAACAACATCAACTTTAAGAAAGGTACATGAAAGTGAAGATGAGATCGCAGCAAGAGAAGTCAGAGGTCTTTGCGATGTTATTGGTAATTTTTCCATTTGTTTAATTCTCTGTTCAGCCGATCTTGTAATACCGTAATCCATGCCAGACACTATAGCCAGGTCCATGACCTCCGCTTCAGTTAAGCAGTACAGCTTGATTAAGATCCCACCACTAATTTGCTGAATAGAAAGTGAACGACTGTCTACACTCTGATGAGGTCATCACTATGCCCATCAACAATTTCCCAGCTATTGGTTGTCACTGCTGTGCAGTGAATTAGAGCTTGAGTATATGAAGGTGCTTGTTGTCCTTTTGCCAGTCTTGCTGTACAGAAGGTATTACAGAAGCTAATATAAAGACAAAATATCATTATTCTGCTCTATTTAAAAATGAAATACTTGTAAAATGTAAGTGTAATATATGCTTTTTATACTTTCCTGGAGTTCTGCTGTATTCAAAATGTAAAATCCGTTAATAGTTGCAAGTTAAAAACTAACATAGTTTCCTTTTTTTTTTAAATTGTCTACATGAATATGTGGGATGTGGGTTTAGATATAAGTTTTACTGAATTGCCTTGCTCCATGGCCACTTCATTCACAGCCCCTCTTAGGCCTGGTTCACACCTGTACGTTTTGTAGCGCGTTCAACGCTCTACGAACGCTCTACAAAACGCTCAAACATGAAAATCCCATTGTTTTCTATGGGTATGGTTCACACCTTGCCATATTTCAGCCCGTCTGAACGCGCTACAAAACGTCCTACGCCTGAAAAGGTACATGAGCTTCTTTGCAGCGTTTTTGTCACGCGTTTCCATTGGGATACAGCCAATTCGCGAATCGCGGTAAAAACTCGCGTCACGAAATGCGCGACAAACGCGCATATTCGATATGCCTAGGTGATTCTGGACTGCAGAATAGGAGGGTCCTTCTCTGCGTGTCCATCTCAGTCCTGGTGATGTGTACACATCTTATTGACTCACTAACTAGTTAAACCAGAATTGGGATGCACCTACAGAAGCACGAAAGTGATGCCAGCTGTTGTACGTCTATTCTGATGGATCCTCTTTCAAGAGAAACTATAATGGTTTTTCATCAATTTTACTTTAGTTATTTTTAAATTGATGTTTTACATCTCTTTTTAGTATTTATATGTAATGTTTGTTTTCCAATGAATATTTAATACATGGCAATGTGTCCCTAGAGCACTAATGGTTAGCTGAGCGGACAGCCGACCAGAGGCTTTCTGCTTTAAGGCTACCTTTGTTTGAATAAAGCTGGCCATACACCTATAGATTATCTGCAGATTTTCTATGGTCAGATGGAAAAAGTGCAACAGATTCCTCCATCTACGCTAAACTGTGTGGATGGAGGAATCTCCCACTGGGCCAAGCTTCAGTATCTTGCTAGTCGGCCCCACTGGCGGTCAAAATACCTGAACAATCTGATTGGATGCAGGCATAGTTCAGATATTTTTAGAGCGAGCGGGGCCGACTATTAAATACTGAAGCTTGGGCCAGTGGGAGATTCCTCCCTCTACAATTTTAACGTAGATGAAGGAATCTGTTGCGCTTTTTCCATCTGACCATAGAAAATCTGCAGATAATCTATAGGTGTATGGCCAGGTTTAAGCTTCAGATAAAGCTGACACATATAAGTCACTGCTCAACCACTTGTGTATGTACATTGCAGCTATCAAGGTCTGTGAATAACAAGCTTTTTTTTAAAGACTAGCTAAAATGTTCACATTCGTTGAACGGGTTGAATACGGAAATGTGTCAATGCAGTGGCAGACAGCACAGTTTTGCATTAGCACAGTGGTGGCAAATGCGGAGGTGGTAGCAAGTGTAGTGGTGGTATGTGGAAGAGGTGGGGAGAACAGGGGCACAGGATGGGGGTCAGCTGCAGAGGTTTATATAGGGGTTGGTATGCAGTAAAGATATGGAGATAGGACGATGAGTGTCAGCTGTGGTGGTGAGAGTGCAGGATTGATGTGGTGGGTGGTAGTGATGGGTGGGTAGTAGTGGTGGGTAGTAGTGATGGGAGAATCTGCTTGGGTTTAGTGAATCTGGTTTGAAGTTCGACAGACCTAAACTTTTACTGCAAATCCAACTGAAGTCTGTTGTAGCGGGTGTCACTTTTGCAGTACTGGAACTCTGGCTTCAAACTCTGAGGAGCAATGCAGGATTTACCCTGGTACAAACATTAGAAAATTAGCAGCTGTAGGTGATCTGCGGAAACATTGTATGGCACCTTTACAGTGCCAAAGCACCAGTATAGGCTGTAATGCTGGTTTAACCATGCAGCAAATATGAGAGATTCTGCAGCTGCAGAAACATTGTGTGGTATCTTTACAGTACTAAAGCATCAGCATCGGCCAGGAGAGGTAAAAGGCCAGGTGACACTGGCCTGTTGCCTCTCTTTTTTGGGCCAGATGACACTTCAAAGTTTAATCTGTAGCATCTGCAGCAAGGGTTTTTAGTCATTGAAATCCAAGAAAATTGAGCAAGTTGATTTTCCTCTCCGAAAAAAACCTTCTGCTGCACTGAAGACCCTCTGAGACAGCACACTGAATGTTGGTCAAGCTAGAAGCTCCAGCACATGCTATGAAAGCTCCGGCCAGTGGACCAGCCTGAACACCCAATAGTCCATGGTGTCTGCATCAGTCCCGGACCTGATGTAGTCAACTATCATGTGGTTCATGCTCTGCCTGTGAAGCTGCAGCCAGTCCTTTGCAGCTGTGATTTACAAAATTCTGGAAAACGGGTACTGAGGTAGCCACTTCATCAAATTTCAAGCGAATATCTGGAAATGTGGCAAAAAAAGGTTCTTATGCAGCATGTGCTTAAAGTTTTGCAGTTTGGGCTCCCTCTTTGATGGTGGCAGGAGATCAGCCATTTCACCCTAATAAGGTGATCTAATAGGGTGGCTATCCAATAGCAGTCCCTCTCTTTGATGACCTGAATCCTGGGGACTCCGAGTCCATGGTATCGCTGAGGACACCCTATCTTCAATCTCTCCCCAACCACATATACTACCTGGGGTTTGGGAGAGGTGAAATGTCTATCTTGCAGCCTTCACCATTTCCTCGTCCTTGCCACCAACATCCCAAACCTCCTTGTCACTTTCCTCCTCGGCCTCCTGCTACTGTTGCCTCACATACATTGAGGCAGTAGCCAAGGTTCCTGCTGGCTATGTGTCCTCCCCTTCTTCCTCCTACTGTGATTCCAGTTCCCGAGCCATCAGACAATGCAGCTTGTGTTCCGGGCGGAAAATGAGAGGGTTTATATCACTAATCCCTGCCTTGTCACAGCTCACTATTTTGGTTACCGCTTCGGAAGGTGCCAAAATGCTGCATAGGTCCTGAATAATGAAACATTGATATGGTTAAAAAAAAACTCAGTTCCCCAGAGCCTATCCTAGTACCATAATCACACATACTTTTCGATGGCACGCTGCTGCTGGTGCAGCCTCTTCAGTATGGCCAATGTGAAGTTCCATTGCATGTGGTGAGACAGGAGCCAGGCAAGTTACATATGTGATTTGTCCTAAGCTAAGGTCGGCTAGCAGGTTAATAGTGATGTCACACACACAACCTATCCGCGCTGAAGATTGCATTAAAAAAAAGTAGATATGGAAATATGATAAAGTATGCAATGTGTTACATGTGTTTTACTTGTTACACAATTATATTACTTTGACAATAGCATCCATTTCATTTTGAGTCTAATTTAATTCCTCGTGGCAGTATCTGAGAAGAGGGACAGTAACATCTTGCAGCGGATCACCACAAACAGACAAGAACGGCATGAGAAGGCAGTTTCTACTCTGCATGAGGAATTAGCTGGAATCAGCAAGGTGATTAAGTAATAAGGAATTCTGGTTGAGCTCTATGATGTGCTTGTGTCTCCCTTAACATTTCAATCTTGCTTCTTTTTTTTTAGGAAATGGAGGTCCTGGTTCTGGAGGCTGGAATAAATCTCCAAGGATATATGTCCGAGTCCGATAGAAAGATTGACCTGTTGTTCCAGCAGTGTGAAAAAAGGAGAGACAACAGGTCCTTCACAATGGTGGTAAACATGTCTTTCACCTTCACAGCAGAGACATTGCTCATAGCAATCAAGCACTCCTCAGCTCTTTTTTCGGTTGTATGATAAAGCATCTAATTTGCATATGCTGTAGGCAAATGCTTCTTTTTCCTTTGCACTATTTTTTGTAAACAATAGAGAAATTAAATTTGGAGCAAAACATAAACTGCTGAACAATTAAATTTCATATTTAAAGTCTATCTAAACCCAAAACCAAAATGTAATATATTGCAGCTTACCAGTCCTCAGATGTGGTGGCTGCATTTGTTTGCTTTTTTCAGGCTTGTTAAATTTTGTGTCATCTGGTTCTCCTGCCAGTAATACACTTCCTGTCCTAGGGTGACAACGGGGCCGGCCTTAGGCCTTTAGGCGCCCTGTGTCAAGGCGGATATAATGGACTGGATCTCAGCTGCAGAACTTATGCTGTCTTTGTTTGTACGCAGAGGTTCAGTGAGCGGCTCCCTAGTACACTCGGTGCGTTAGGGAAACCGTACGCATCATTTACCACTGTGTTAGAAGTAGTAGGCGGCCCTAAGCCTGTTTGACTTGAGACTGGTGGCTATCTCCACAGGTTATCGGTGGGGTTGTGGAACAACTTGGGAACCAGCAATCAATAGGTTAACACTTGTGGCCGTGCTTCCCTAAATGGTGGAGGTAATTAGTTGTTAGCATATAGCAGTTCAATTAATCCTGGCAGCAGTATGCAACAAATAATAATCAGCAGGTATGTGACCCCTCAATGCACAGGGTTAAATGAGTTGCGAACGGAATGCAGCATAAGCAATCATGTAACAGTTAGCACAGTTAAGGCAGGCAGTTATGCAACCCCTAAGAGCACAGGGGTAATGACAGTGCTGAGTGGATATCCAGGGAAATGATATAGTGAAATCCAGATTACTTGCGCTTAGTAGTGTGGTTGGGTACGGTCTATGGAGAGGGATTAAGGTCCTGAATGTCCGATCCTCCTGCTTCCCTCCTGCCTGATCAAAGGCTCAGCTGCTGGCCGGTTACTTGGAGCTCCAGCTAGTGGCGGTTCACAGATGCCGGTGGTTGCGGGTTCCCGTTCGTCACTCGGCACTCCACAACGAGAGAACGCCGAGTGACGAACTCTCTGACCTTTTACCCCCTGGACCGCGCCCCGTGGGCGGAGCCGGCGTGACATCGTTGCTGGGACGGCGCGTCGCAGGAACACCGGGACGTGCCGCGTAATCCGGGTAAGTCTGTGACACCCTGTGCGAGAAAGCTTTACATCGCCCCTCAGAGACCACACCCCTCAGTGGCCACACCCTTCAGTGGCCACACCCATTTTCCCAATATCCGCACAATTTAAAGACTCCTATTTTGTTAAGCCGCAAAGAAACATATTAAAAAGTATGATAAAAATAAAACTTTTATTCAAAGGTATTAAACTTATTGTAGGCACAATATAAGTATATCAAATAAAACAACAGAAGGCAAACAATAAATGTCAAACTACAAATAAAGTGTCAGGTTGTCATGCCGGTCCTTTTTTCAAGTAAGTGTATCTAGAAAAGTAAAAATAAAAAACAGAACACAAAACCTAGACTACATGTCAAATTAATGAATTACTATTTGTCCGAATATACGTATCATGTATTCAGGCACATAATAATTTGTTTGAGAATGTGCGGCGGCCATGTTGGCCAGCAGCGTGTTCTGTGAATGCGTGCCACCATCTTGGAGGCGGGAAGCATGACGTTACATTACGCCATGCATGCGTGGCGTCGGGTGACGTTACACGCCGATATTGGCCCCACCATCTTGGTGTATACCTAGATATACACCAAGATGGCGGCGCCCAACACGTGCAGTGTTATATGACGTCATGCGCCCTGCCTACAGAACACGCCAATGGTTGAATCCAAAATAGCATCAACATTTATTTTGGGGTCTATTCACGAAGCTGCCGAAGGATCTAGCCGTAGCTTCGGCCGATCCTTCGACTAGCTTCGGTTACGGGAGTCCATCGGTTATTTTTTAAATTTTTTATTATTTTTTAAAATTATTTATTTATTTAAGTTTCTGAATGGGGAGGAATTTAAATCACAGCCTGTTCTTTCATAACTGGGGACACATAGGGAGCGCTGTCATGTCGGATAGCCAGCGGTGAGGAGGAGAGAAGCCGCCCCGAGGATTAGCTGTGTCGGCTGCCTGACGCCTTTATGGCGCACAGCTCGCACACCCCTAAGGCCGGCCCTGGGTGACTACACTTACTCACTGTACTATGTCTATAGAGGGAGCAGTGTTGTCAGCCTAAGCTGCTCTCCTGACACACCAAGCGCATTCCAGGAGCAGAGCAGTTACAGACCAGAGCAAAACTGCGTCCAATGTATTCCAATGGTATTTTTAGCTCCAGTTCACATCGCAGCGTTCAATTCCAGGGCAGGTAAAATAAATGCAGCAGGCCCTATTTTACCTGCTCTGGAACGCATGCAAACGTATCAAAAATGCATGCAAACGCCCTGGAACGCACTGAAAGCCCATTTTAAAGTAAAAAGACATTATTTTTTTTCCTCTCCTTATTCCCATTACGTAGGAAGAGGTTCTTTTGTAGTTCACAGAAAGTAGCTAGGAAAATTGATAATATTGTTTGAGATATCAGTTAAGTGCACAGGAAGTAACAATGACATTGGAATTCTGGCAAGATAAAAAAATTTCTGTACTTGCAGACGTGCTTATTAAACAACAATTCAGTGCTAGGTTGGATCACAAAGGGAAAAAAAAAACTTATGACATAAAGGACAAAGTGCAAATAATATCCACTAGTAATAAAATGTCCTAAAGTCCAAACGAATAATAATAGAACGTGAATAGAATAAGAGTCTTCAATATAACTTGCTCCTGAAATGCTCCAAAAGTTTCTCCCAACCAGTGAGCAAAGGGAAACGGTGACTCACCTGCCTCTATTAGACATGCATACATCCAGCCAGGGCCCTGTAGATATTCCACCACCAACACTTATCTTTTAAATATGATGGATAGTTTCCCCAAATAACGAAACTTAGTAGCAACTCACGGCCACTATTAGACCTTTATGAAGCTAAGTTTAACAGCTAGGGCCCACGAAAGCATGTATCACCACCGCTGAAAAGAATCATGAATGATGAAGAAGGTGTCTAACCATAGCCCTGTTTCCAGCCTTGTATATAATAGTAGCATGTTCTTGGTGATACTTTGTTCCTTCAGATCAGATGACGTAGGCTGCTAAACCTTTCCTTGATGGGAGTGGGGGACAAAATCTGTCTACATTGGCTGTACAGGATTCCAGGCACAAGGGTCACAAATACACAAATGGGACATATACACAGGACACATGTTTGATGCATCTAATCTATATATTTAGCCACTAAGAATATAACAGAGGTGGCTCAGCCCTTGCACACACTGTATTGCCATGTTGGTGTTTTGTTTGCTTTTTCACACTGAATGTTTTTACTTTTCAGTTTTTAAATGAATTTTGGGGTCATGTGGTTGAGGACACCTCTTACAGGAAAGAGTGGATCAGACTCACAGAGAACACTTTGTTCGACATAGAAGAGAAACGTGCAGATCGGGTGAGTACCTGTCACCAGTTTAACCCTTTCGCTGCCAAGCCCTCCGGAACATTTTTCAAATCAGCTGGCCAAGCCATTTTTGAATTTTCTGCAATTTTTTCCTATTGATTTGATTTTCAACTGCTGCGTTGCTAGCGTTTGTAAAAGACCCCCCAAACCATATATTTTCTGAAAGCGCAGGCCCGGTAGAATAAAAAGATGGTGATACTAAATTTGTAGGCCCTGCGATAATTGCGCAAATGTTTCTCAAATTAATATTAAACCGATAAAAATACACAATTCAATTGTTAAAACACACCAAAATCAGTATCCGTGCACAAAAAAAATATTTTTTGACTAAATCTAAAAGATAAAACTGTATTGAGTTAATAAATAACAAATATTAGCAAATTTGTAATTGCGCCTTTTTGCGAAAAGGTAAAAAAATGAAGGTAAGCTCTATTTTAATGATATGTAAGAACTCTTTGAGGACAGTGGTAAAGGATGTCATCTCTGTAGAAGCCGAAGATCAAAGTTAAGATTGGCTGATCCCCCTTTTAGCAGAGATCACATGACCAACATTATAGGCTTTTGGTCGTATGATCAGCACATAAAGGTTTTTTTTCAGCAGAATTATCACCATGAAAGGTTGCAATCCATCCCAGCCAGACTTTTATTGTACCTTTATGTGAGCCTTTAAGTATTGGTCAGCTTTAAAGATTTTTTATTTCCCTCTTCCTTAAGAGTTGGCCGAAATTCGATGTGTGGGTAACGCTGTCAGCACCTTTCCGACCAGCATCCCTTGACCAGCTGATCGAAGGAGCATGTCGGAAAATTGTCGGGCGAACATAGCTACCACCGGATGAGCTTCGAGATCTAATCAGATAATCTGAGTGATTCGCCGTACAAATCTTCTTCAAGATTCGTTCTGTGCGAATAGACACAAAAATGAATGTACATAGAGATATATTTTTTTTTTTGGGACAAATGTCTGTAATGTAATACTGCATTTTGGGCTCTAGATGGAGCTGATGAGCATAGAAAACAAATACTTTATTTCCTATGCTCCTCAGTTTCATCTTATGGCCAAAATGCAGTATTACATTACATACATTCAACCTGAAAAGAAAATGCGCCTCAGCTCTATCTAGTAGCCAAAATGCAGTCGAAAATTACATAAATTCAATCTGAAAAGAAAAGATATGTAAGAATGTTCATTTTGTTTATTCGCACAGAACAAACATTTAGAAAGATTCGTAGGGTGAATGGCCCTGCAAATTGGTTATAAGTATACCCCTAAGCATTTGACAGTATATGTATCATTACACTAGATTTATATTTTTTGTTTGTTTGTTTTTTTAGGTGCAGATGTTTAACCATAGGTTAACTATGTTTGTGTTTTTAGATTGCTGATGTGTTGAAGAAATTCACAACACTTTTGACAGAGATTTGCTATCTCATGCCTTCTGATGTGCTTAGGTTTATACATGAGGAAGCCATGGTAAGTCATTTTACAGCTGGTGGGAAAATCCAGGCAACAAATAAAATCAATTATTGAACTGCTAAAGCTTTGCAGGTAAAATCACAGCTGTGCTAAAGTCCGAAAGGTGTCCGTATGCTTTATATATATTTTATAATCCAATGCGCTGGCATCAGCAACGTTTTCATAGTTTCATAGTGTCAGGACTACAGCCTCTTGCCATATGGTTCTGTCCTAAGCAGCCTACCAATGTGTGTGGGCAATGCTGCCATGGTCTCAGAGAAATGGTGAAACTTGGACCAGTGAACACACTTCGTGTTCTTGTAGAGACTAGGCTTGTAGGGCAGACAACTGTATAAAATGAATGCTGAAAAACACAGAACTACTCGGCACGTAGGCTGGACCCTGAGTCAATTTCCAAATATACATGAGTTAGCTAGCCTACTGCACATCATTTAAATGACTCCAGTTTATGTTTGGTCTTGTAGATTGTGTCTTGTTTTCACTGTGCTTCTTCTTCCAGATGATAAATCAAGCCATACTTGCCAACCACAGAGCAATCGCCAAGCTGTCTCTTAATCTCAAGGAAGCAGAACTGAAAAGAGAGAGGGCACAGTGGCTCCAGTGGCAAGACCTGATAAAAGCCTGGAAATCTCATGAGAAAGAAAGCGTGGTAACTGAATTCAGGTATGTTAAGAAAACACACAAGGCTCCACTAAGCTATAATGATCATTATTGGCATTAACAGTTGTTATTTTCAGGAATGAGAGGTGAAAATAATGATTATTATAGCAAAAAAACAAATGCGTTATAAGCTTAGTGAATTGAGCCTATATTAACTTTGGAGTCCACATTCTAGGTCAGTGACAGTCAGATTGTATTTAGGAAGCTGTTTATATATGCTTTAAGATAATGTAGGTTACATCATGTCTGATAAAGAGTTGGCCCAGTGATGTGCAATCTCTGGTTAGGCACTCACAGTGCGGTATCGGAATCAGTTTGTGCATTGCTGGGAATATTGTCCTTGGCCTTCATTTGTATTGGCCTTAATGATAATCACCTCATGTGGTCCAGAAAAAGACAGACTATAAAACAACATTTTAGCATATTTGAAAGACGTCAGCTCAATTCCTGTAGCATCCTGCTTTGGTCATTAGACAACAAAGTCGTCTATGATTAATATTATCTCCTAATATTTGTTCTACAGGTTGTTTGCAGAAAAGGAGATGGACCAGATGCCTGGTAGTGTCAAGAAGGAGATTGACTTGCTAATAGATCAGCAGCAGTTGCTACATACCAGGAGGCTTCAGCTGCTGTGTTCAGTCAGGTACTGTAAGTGGTTCTCGTGTAGCACAGGAACATGTGCAGCAAGCACTATGAAGCATATTTACCCATCGAGGAACTATATGCTGGAAAGGTGGAAGGTAGAGCAGGGTAAGCATTGCCTTTTGATCAGTTTGGTATATATAAATATGGCAACATACTCCACCTCCTATACCAAATAAACCCCATCTGTAACTCTTAGGGGTCTATTCACTAAGCTGCCGTAGGCAGCCGAGTGAAAGACCGCCATGAAGTGAAGTGAGCCGAACGCGGTTCTGCTCCCGGCCGCCAAGGAGAGAAACACTGCTTTTTCTTTTTTTTTCTTTATTCTGACACGGAGCCGTGTCAGAATAGAACAAAAAATGTTTACCCATAGGAATGCATTTGCAATAGCCAATAGTAAACTAGCATTGCAACCGCCCTCTGCTGATGGACCTGATGGAGAACTGCAGCAGAGGGCGGGTGCAATGCTAGTTTACTATTGGTTATTGCAAATTGAAATAGCCAGTAGGAATCTACTGCCCAAATAGGCTGTCGGCCGGCCGCTCGGCCAGCTTCAGCTTTCAGCGTGGCTCAGCCGAGACGAGACATATGCATTCGGCTCGGCCAAGTTTGGGAGCTGTACGGGCTATAGTGAATAGTCCGTACAGCAGCCCTTCGGTTCTACTGAACCGAAGGGGTCCTGGGGCTGAAGCTAGCCGAAGGATCGGCCGAAGCTACGGGTAGATTCTTCGGCAGCTTCGTGAATAGACTCCTTAGGCCTGGTTCACACCTGGGCGTTTTGCAGCGCGTTCCTACGCTCTATAAAATGCTCAACATGTGAAAACCAATGATTGCCTATGGGCATGGTTCCCACCTGGGCGTTTTACAGCGCGTAGGAACGCGCTGCAAAACGCGCTACACCCAAAGAAGTACAGGAGCTTCTTTGGGGCGTATGTGCCGCACGTATCCATTGGGATACAGCCAGGTAGCCCTCGGAAACGCGCGTTTGTCGTGCATTTTTATTACCGTGAAAAACGTGCGGCACGAAACGCGCGACAGACGTGCATATTCAATACGCCTATGTGTGAACCCAGCCTTAGACTCTATCTCTAGCTATTGCAATTTGAAATGCTATCTGCTGTCTGGCAAGGTTCTCATTCATCCGGGTCATGGTATATCTGTAAAAAAAAAGTCAAGGCAACTGGACTTGCTGTATTTTTCAAGAAAAATACAGCAAGTCCAGTTGCCTTGACTTATTTTTTTGTGGTTTGTTTTTTTTTCTTTAATCTGACAGGAGCCGGCGGCCGCTGTCAAAATAAAAAAAAAAAACAGATAGCAGGGGAATTGGCAGATAGCAGGGGAGCTAATGCTAAAGCAGCTGGATGTAAACAGAATACCGGTACCTGATTATAGTTATCGGCCTGAAATGTGATCAATGATTGGTATTGGTACAGGAAAATCCATATCGTTTGATCCCTACTATAGAAAATATATGTTGTATAACTCAATCTCTAAATTTGTGGCTCTTAACACAATTTTCTTTTTCTCTGTTTTTAGTGATTTCATACCTGAGACCTGTACAAAGGCAGCTGTGAATGAATGGCATAAATCTCTTGTGGCCTTAAATAAGGAGATGGGTAAGAAAGAACATGTCTAATGTATGAATACTGGAGAAAATAGTTTCAGTTGTCCTTCCTTCCTTCCTCTATCTCTCTTCCCTCACTCTCTCCTCCTCTTTCTCTTTTTTACTTTGCTTTATCCTCCCTCTATCTATGTTCTTACCCCCCACCCCTACATTCTCTTCACCCCTCTCTTCCCCCTCTGCTTTGTTCAGCCCTCTCTCACACTTTCTTTCTCTATTCCCTTCCCCTCCCCTTTGCTTTTTTTTCTGCCCTCTTTCTAACCCTCCCTCTCTCTGCTCCCCTCCTCTGCTTTCTCCTGTCCACTCTTTAACTCCCTCTCTCCGAACCCCCCACCGCCCTCTCTTTCACTCCCTATCTTTCTGTCTCTCTCCCCGCTCTTCTCTTTCTCTCTGCTTTCTCCTGCCCTCTCTTTAACTCCCTCTCTCCGACCCCCCCCCACCGCCTTCTCTTTCTCTCCCTATCTTTCTGTCTCTCTCCCCGCTCTTGTCTTTCTCTCTGCTTTCTCCTGCCCTCTCTTTAACTCCCTCTCTCCGAACCCCCCCACCGCCCTCTCTTTCTCTCCCTATCTTTCTGTCTCTCTCCCCGCTCTTGTCTTTCTCTCTGCTTTCTCCTGCCCTCTCTTTAACTCCCTCTCTCCGAACCCCCCCACCGCCCTCTCTTTCTCTCCCTATCTTTCTGTCTCTCAAAATTTTATGAAATTTTAAGTTAACAAAAAATGAACAGAGACGACAGAAGGAAGATTCATTGTTGTTGGAATGTCAGGTGGAATGGCAAGCATCCGAGTATAGTACAGTTGGGATCAGTGAAATGTAGCAACCATTATGGCTCAGTATATAAAAGGTGTAGTAACCCAGATCATCATCATGCCAAAGGAGCGAGTGGAAAAATCAATTGGGCATACGCACCCCATTAGATCTAAAAATTAGAGCCAAACATAAAGCAAGTGACATAAGGATAACAAGCCAGACAAAAAAGAAAAATAGAGAAAAAGAACCACATGCAAGATAGGGAAAAAGAAAGAGGAGATAAAGATTAAACACTTACTATAGGAAAAATGGGAGGAGGGAGAAGGGTGAAATGGGGGTAGGAGCATGAGAGGTAACCCGGAGCGAGACCGCACTGGTGAGGACAGTTAATTAAAGGCTCAGTAATGAGTGGTCAGACCCAGAAGAACAGAGATAGCCCACCCAGGGAGACCACGTTTTCATAATCTTCAAGTGCGTATCCCTAAGGACAGCTGTACCCCCTTCTCTTTCTATGTGCTTGCTTCTTACCTCTCTCTAACTCTTTCTCTCTGCTCCCCTTTTTTTTCTGCCCTCTCTCTTCTTTCTCTTCCCTTCTCTTTTGCTCCCCCCTCTTCTTTCTCCCCTCTTTCCCTTTCTCCCTCTTCTTTCCCTCATTCTCCCTTTCTCTTTTTATTGTCTTTCCCTGTAAAGTTCTGCTATTAGAATTAAAGCTGTAATCTGGTTCCTTTCCTGTTATTCAATACATATTATTCCTTGATGATTCTTATTAATCTATTTACTTTGGGTAGTCATGTTTACAGAATTTGTGCAGATCGATGTATATTCATAGAAATATTCCCCTTGCTTTTTACCTTCTGAATCAACATTTTTAAAAATTAGAGCATACATTTCCTACAGTGAGCATGGACGTCCTAATGGTCGCCTTGTTTCAGACTGGCATATATGATATGAACCACTTATGTGTCTTTTTTCCCCCCGATGCAGTGTCTGTGAACACACAGTTCTTAGACAGACTGCACAACCTCCAGAGTGATGCCACCCAACGATGTACAACAGCAGCAGAAACTTGTCAAGTGAGTGTTCTAGTACACTAATACAGTTGTTGTTTGCTTTATTTTGTGATTTAGTGTTATGATGCTCAACTGGCATTATGGATTTATTGCATTCTGCCCAGTATTGTCCACACCTTACATTCTATAGTCTTTTTCACTGGTGGGATTCAGTTTCACTGTAGATGACACTCTGCAAGGCTAAGAATGTATGTGCAGCATACAACCTTGTGGGAAGATATGCGTATTCTAGCAGTGGCTGTAAGTAGTAGGCATTAGAGGGAGCATTAATGTAACCGGTGTCACCAGGAGGGCTTCCCTGGGCTTCAATGGCCATTATGAAGGAGATAACATTATGACTGGACAAGTTGTATCCATTAATAGTTTAGGAACTTCTTAGGGATTGTAAAGGACATAATGGTGGTTTCATGGAATTCAATTGTAATACTTATTAACTGAAGAACTTCCTCCACTTAACATCTGAGAAAAAGGTTATTTTTTACCACTATACCTGGAAATTCCAAACCTTCAAAGAGCTTTTCATATGCAGATCAGAAGCCTGCTATTGGCATTAGTGTGCATAGAACGCTGCCTCTGTCATATGCATCTTATATATCTTACAGTATATGTCATATCCAAACAAGATACTGCCTGTTGTTTAACATTGCCAGTCTTTCTGCATAACCTGTTTTTTTCCTGTTTCCAGGCTCAGCTGATGAACTTGGAAATCTGCAGCAAGGAGGAGGCTAAGACTATCATGACCAAAGAGCTGTCCCCACTCACTGAACAATTCCAGATAAATTATGACAAAGAACAAAGGCTCTTCTCTGTATGTGTCCTTGTACAAACACTTGAAGAACTCTGCTAGCACTGTTTCTGTCTAAATTTGCCATATAAGACCAACGCGGTTTCAGAAAAGCTGCAGCCCTTTTTGTTGCATAGTCTTTTCTGTGGTGTCCTGTAAGGCATAGCATCAGATATACATACATTTTTGATATTAAGTGCATGTATGCCACATATTGTGTAGATATAACACTTCCAGGTATTTATAATCTCCTTCAGAGGTCTTAGTACTCTCCCTGACAATGACCATGTCTGCTTTTCTTTCCAGAAGAACTGAGACATCCTTGTTCAGGCATCATTCAGGGTCATCTTCTGGAGTAAGAAGCTGGCCCATGAATGACCTGATCAATATTTTATTTTTAGTATGGGTATTTACAGTGTATAGCGCCAGCAATGAATGCATCCCTTTACATAATTGCATATTCACATCAGTCCCTGCCCTCAAGAAGCTTATCTAAGGTCCCTATCTCACATACATGCATACACTGCCAATTTAGACAGAAGCTAGTTAACCTGCCAGCATGTCTTTTTTGGAGTGTGAGAGGAAACCGGAGTACGCAGAGGAAACCCACGCAAGCACAGGGAGAACATGCAACTCCTTGCAGATATGTTACTGACCGGGATTTGAACCGGGGACCCCCAGTGCATTCATGTAAATTCCTAGTGCCTGCACAGTATTCTTTATGTTTTTAGCTGTGTGTGCTAATGTGTCATGCAGTTCAGCTCCTGCTGCTTTATCTTGCTTTGTCACAATGTTCAGTGAGTGATCATTTGGTAAGGGAACATTGAGGTAATAATCCCTCTTGCTTGCAGACGTCTGATTACATTCACTTTCCCAAATTGCACCATTCAGGCCCAAGCACAGTCACATGAAAAACGTTACTGTCATTTTTTAATTATATTAGTGCTGCAAATTGTGACCTGAATTTATTCAATCAGACTTGTAAGTTATTGGTACATCTGCTTTTATTTATCTTCTTTTTGCTTAACATTTTAGGATCCAATGATGACCGTATCAAAACAAATAGACTCACATACCAATAAATTATTTAAATATGCCAAAAAAGCAGTTCATCTTTGGGATGTCTTGCAAATTGGACTAAGCCAACAAGAAAAGGCCCTGCAAAGGAATTTAGACCACTATCGGAAGAAGTATGAAACAGAAAATCAGGTACAACTGACTCCTGCAATATGTCGGTCTCCTGGATATCAGCTGCTTGCCCTAACATACTAATTTTACTGTACCACCACATCACCAGATTTATGATTGTATATAGTTTAGTTTCATCTCTATATATTTAAAGATGTTCACCTTACTGTTCATTCTTGCAGTCACGATTTATTTTTAATTTATAATGACAGCTGTCCACTTCTGGAAATTGCAGTATGCAAGCCTTTGTGTCGAAACAAACCTGCTTTTATATTTCTGTTGTATATTAGACCTGTATAATCAGGAATATAAAAACTGAGGTATTGCCTAATGCAACCAATCAGGTATTTGTTTTTATGTTCTAACACAAATGTGAAAAATAAGAGCGGTAGCCTAATTGGTTGAAATTGTTAACAAGGCAATTGTATCCATTTTTTTTATGCATGGCGAGTAAAATCTGTGATATGATTGGGTATTTCTCTCCTTAAATACTTACGGCTCATCCTTTTTTTACATCGCAACTTTGTTTACTATCCACCCCTTCTGGATATGTTTAGCAAACACCTATGACAGACAGTAGGAAAGAGCAACCAGATTTCTTATTTGCTCCATTTCAGAAAGTGGAAGTTGATTTCTAATTGGTTGTTGTGGATCATTACACTTTGCACAATGTTGATAATATTGCCAGCACACTGACTGCCCTGTCCTTTCCACACAGAAAAGGGAAGCCAATCTTGACATTATTTTGGACAGCCTGCGGCAGGGGAGCACTGAGGAGCAACTGCGCGCCCTCATGGGCAAGTCCCTGGCATGTTTACAGGACATCAAAGCTGGGTGACCATCCAATCATTTACAATCTATATTTTTGTAATAACTATTCTTCTTACTACCAGCAAAATATACCCATTTCTTGACTGGTACAGGTTCACTCTATAGTTTGTTTTGTTGGGGAGGATGTTGGTACCTAAAATCTGTTTTGGACTTCACATTATTAGGTACTTACACATTATTAAACTGAGCCAGGTTAAAAAAAAAGTGACAAAGGTGCTGTAGTGTAAACATCTTTAAATGACTGCAAGTACCTGTGCTAGTCAATCCTAGATCAATCCCTGTGGAGCCTCATAGAAAAAGCATTTCTCCTTGTTGCTCTTATGTCAAATGCCAGAGCTTTGTCGGCCTATTGAAGTGCTGCCATTTGACATTTAATTGATAAGGATGGGCCTTAGCACCAGGATCGGCAGGGCTTAATCTCTCTTGTACAGGTTGGATCTGAAGGGCTCCACAGGGATACAAAGATGATTCTAAAGCCTAACAGTGGTATTTTGACACACCACAAGGTGACTGTACCTGATTCTGAACACCAGGTTAAGTGAAAGAATAACCCTTGCCATTGGACCTGTACCTCACTGCAAGGGTAAATGCTCATTTAGTCTAGAGGTAGAGGGAAAGGCAGCTATACTTACCTTGTTCCTTTGCCCACTGGTAGCCGGAGCTCCCTGATGCTCCAGGATGTGGACGGGTCCTTTTTTTGTTATTTTTATAGTGTAAAAGAACAGTTACAAAGAACAAGCATCTGTGTTTACATGATGGCGACCCAGAGGATTAAGTCAGAGCATGTATGACACACAGAAAACAAAACCACACACTTTGGTCTATACTAAACACCGTCCACAGTGGTTACATAAGGCTGCAGTTACAAAACGGTTTCTAAGGCAACAGAAATCTTGTACACTAAAGCTGAATAATAGAGCCAACCATGTATCCTGACCTATTGTCTTGAATGTATCATTAGGTCTGGTATGCAAATGAATACAATGTGTCAGCAAGTGATATGAAGCGTGATACATTTTGTTCTATGGATATAGTGTTTTGTGTTTTCAGCCAGGGGGACCAAAGTTTGTCAAATTTATTTGGCCAACTATGGGCTTCATAGGTCAGCGGAAGTGCTTGGTTAACTATCCTTTTCCAGCAATAAAGCTGTGTACATACTGAGTGGATTTCGGACGGTTCTTGATGAACCAGCTAAAATTCACCTAGTGGGTGACCCTGTCTGCTGCCTCCCACCCGGCATCTTTTGATTACAAAAATTGAAGGAGTAGGGTGGAAAATTGTTGTCCAAACAGTATCTGCATACAGTCAAATGCAGGCACTGTTTTGGTATTTTGCCAGCCGCCAGGGCCGACATGCAACAGCTGGGAGATTTTTCCATCCATGATGTTTAGTGTGGAAAGCCCGAATACCAAACTAAAAAAATCTACTACTGTATACCCAGCTTAAGTTTTGGAGGGTCAGAAGAATTCCACTGTAGAGCTATAACATTTGTTTGCACAAAAGTATAATAAATGGAGAAGGAGTTTAATACATTTTGGGTAAACCTGACTTCTCCAACTAACCCAATAGACCTCTAGAAGGATTACAGATATTAGGTACGGGTAAAAGAGTGGCATTGGCCAGGTTCATGCTGTTCTAACATTCAATGCATGACTGCTGGTCCAACATTGCACACGATAACATCAAAATGCCTGTGATGAAGGTAAACAGCTTTAGTGGACCGATTGTACAGCTGAAGTGTTCTGAGTTATCCAATGATTTTTTTTTATCTCATGGGATTATCAGCAATGAAATCCTCCTGCCATACATACTGATTCTATTTAAGTCAGTCTTGGAGTTTTGTTTCTTTGTATGTAATGCAGTACTAAAAATATACTACAGCAAGAATGTAAACTGGTGACAGTAACCTCTGTAACTATATGAAATGATATTCAATTGATTTATATCTTAATATTTTTGATAATTACGTTAAATATGTGCTCACTGTAAATATTGTGAGAGAGTGTAAGTGTGGCTAATACTAGCCATCAGATTTTATGCCTCTATTCTTCAAAAGGCAACCTTAAGGCAACGCAGACACTTTCCCTGTCCTCCAGTAGTTGTAAATGTGTCTGGAAGATACTCTCTGAATTTTCTGAATCATTCTGTCAATCAACAGGTACCTGAAATGTCATCATGATCAAGTCATTGTCATAAAGTCCTATCCTAAGATGGTGCTAAGTAAATTAATGTCATACAGCTCATCTGTAAGCAAATTCTTTTGTGTCCAAGAAGTTTATGGAGAGGTAAGACAATCAGAAAACAGAGTTGTAAGAATATCAGCAGGGGATGGACCACCTCTGTAACAGCATGTATGCAGGGGGCCCGGCCAGGACTTTCCTGATGCCCTGCGGGCCACCTGGGTCGCTATTGGCATCTCACGCTGCTGGTTGTGACTGCTAAGAGGAATGTGCCACCGACAGCAATCTATGCAGCGGCGCGTTCCTTACCCAACCACTGCTGAGTCAGTGAGAGCCAGCAGCGGCGGTGGAGCAGGCTGGACCTAGGAGTGGAGGAGGAGGCGGGGCCTGGGGTTGGCATCGGAAGAGGAGGCGGGCCCGGCGACGGGGAGGAGGCGGGGCTCATCATCGACGGTGGAGGAAGAGGAGGTGGACAGGTAAGGAGTGTGATTAGCGCACCTGAGGGTGACCCTGCAGAGCCCACCTGTAACGCCTGTTTTGGTTCGGGGGGTTGTGGATCACGGAGGCTACTCAGACTGGAATCCCTGGCGTCACTCTCAATCTTTAGTGGAGAATTAGGGACTCAAGCATTACAGCCACACGCAAAGTAAGATAAGTTCAGGTAGGGTTATTATGTCATAAGCCCTGTCCTAAGCACCAGCAGTATTTCAGGAAGTAACTGATAAAAAGGTAACACCGTGTGAAGAGGTACCAGAGGAATCCCAATGAGTATACAGTCACTATGACACAGGAGGTGCAATATGCACTGAGTACTTGCGATTTGGAGCGAGCGGCAGGAGCTGGGGGTCCTTTAGAATCCGGTCCAGAGACGTGAGGGTTCAAGGCTGGCAGCAGCGTAAGGTGGTGGTATACGGCCCCAGGAGACAGCAGGCGTTCTGGTTGAAATAGTGGAACGCCATGCTGTCTCGGCTGGGAGTTTAAATAGAGCGAGAAGTGGGGGAGGAGCCATCGGCCGGAACGGCGCACTTCCGAGCTCCATAGTGGAACGCAGCCGGCATCCGAAAGTGGCGATGAGTGAGCTCCAGCGTGGAACGCAAGAGGGCGCACCCGAGAACCGGCAGAATCCCGAGGCGCTCTCGATCCCCTGCTGGATGATGATGGCGGTTGCCGTTACACCACCTTAGAGAGTCTATGGTGGGCTATGTAGGGCCACCCTCAGGTGGGCTGTGTGGGATCTCAATTGGGCTCTGCAAGGGGTGTAACTAGAGATCAAAGGGGCCCCATACAAAATTTTGCTATGGAGCCCTGTGATTTCTAGTTACGCCCCTGCATGCATTGCTAGTATTCAGCCCAGAGCCTGGGGGCCCAATGTGACCGCTCTCTCAGTCTGCAAATCAGACTTCACCCTTGTTACATTTTATTAATGCAATTACTATGCCTTCGTAAGGATAGGCGTGGTTTTGCAAAATGAACAAAATAAATAACCCTCAGCTCTTTTCATCAGGTATAGAAAAACAAACCACAGATGCACTACTCAAACTAGGCCACATTTTGGTCTCCATGTTTGTTGATGGCAGGAACTTTTTTATGTGCTGCTATTTACCTGTAAATTACCTTCTAAAGCAGAAATATCAGCTCTATGTCAATCTGTAAGACCCCATTGTTGCTCCCGAGCTCGAGGCTAATAACTGATACACCACCCAGACTGCTAGAACAAAATAAATTCTACAAACACTGTTGAAGACTGGTTCACTGTTTTTACTTTCCTAAGTTTCATAGTGTACATTGATGTTTCCTTGTGGTCTCATCCACTCTTTTCACCTGCTATGGTTAATTAGTACATGCTGATGGAAATTGCAGACATGCATAGTGCACAGTAACAAATGTTTTGGGAGTAAAATAGTGCCTGCATGGAGGTCTGTCTATCTTCTGTCTAACTACGTAATACCAGAGACAACCATGGAAGCAGAATTGTGTAATAGATTAAAAAGAGAACATTTTATAATACCTAATAAGTCTAAATGAAAGGTATTACTAGATTAACATATGATATAATTGCAGTTTTACCTTAAAAGCCTCTTCCATCAAGTGCCTTAAACATGTAGCATGGCACCACTGTCTCTTCCTGCCACTGCCTGACATAGTTTTTCTCTTCTTTAAAGAATGTTCCTCCGAAAATTGAAGAATCAGATGGTAAAGGCTACAGAACAATGCCACAGGAACCTGAAGGGTCTGATGTGGAGGAGAAGCCTATAGTAAACCCAGGATATGCATCACAGGATATTGATGACAAGACTGGTGTCACCTGGGATCACCCTATAGAGGGTACTGGTGTGAACACGCCTCAACCACCTGAAATAGAAAGCACAGGGGCTGATGAAGGAAACACAGGGCAAGTAACTGCTCAGGTGTCCACGGAGAATAAAGATAATGAAACACACAGTTCTGGACATCATGATGTTTTGGAAACTCCGGTCAGTGCTCAGAATGAGGTATGTAAAGTTAAAAACAAAATGTGGATTAGATAATATTATCTTGATAATGGAAAAAAAATTGCATTGTAATACCCCAAGCAGGAGATGGTGTTCCAAGCTCAGATAGCCACCAGTCATGTGACCATATGTTTACGTATTTTGGTATGATACTTGCTGCAAAACAGAGAACTAATCATCTACCCTTTCTTCTAGCTCTCACCAGCAGGGGAGAATACAGAAGCCCCTGAGATAGTTGGGAGCTTTGTAACATTCAGAGGAAACACATACACTGTGCTATCGTCCAGCAAGAAGCAAAAGAACACATCTGTTGTAATAGACCAGCCAGTAACAGACAATGTGTTCTTCACCGAGGCTGTCATAGAAGAAGAAAGCCCTGCCAATATCAAACAGATGCTGGTGCCGGAAGAGCTAATTACTGAGCTAAAGAACAAGTGAGTCTGTGACACATTTTATAGCTTCATACTAGAAAGAAGTAACTTTTGCAAATGATTGGAACCCCATAGAGGTGGCTGAATTTGGCTGAGAAGGAAAGGTGCACAGCTCTGAAACTGAAATCCCATTGGCTTCAAAAGCATTCCAAAACCAGTTTTGACTCAGAACGTTTTCTTACAGGGAAACTCTATTATTTTATCTCTATTATTATCTATTATGGTTTAAGGGTTTTCTAAAGATAACTTTGATTGAAACTTACATCGTAGGTAAGGTTAAATAAAGATGCAGGTCCATCCAGAGACACCTGATCAGAGCAGGCGGATGATGGAGAAGCCACTTCTCTGATCTATTCAATGGTGTCTGTGTGTGTGAATTTTAGCATGAGCTACTGAGCTTTGTAAACAGAAGGCTTTTTTTCCAGAAAAGCTGCTAAGGAGAGCCTGAAAAATGTGTGAAAAGGAACCTAATTTACCTCATTTTCTTTTTTCATCTTTTAGTCATGATCTTAATTATAAAACAAAATATATGTATAACCACTCTACCTCCCTTTAAAGCAATTATGGTTAAGAACTCACTGTGCAATCCCACATGTTATGCAAAAGGATGGGTGGGCATTTAAGTAGGCGTTTTGCTTTTTCCCCTAGTGGGAAAAGTTCACTCCCATGCTGAGAGATTAGCCGTTTTTTGATTATTTTCTTGTATTCTCTCACTACCTGAGCTAAATGCTGATCACAAACATTTTGTGAAGTGATAGTTTTTCTCTTCTCCAGCAGTATGATAGAGTGTCAGTAAACCCTGAGCTTAGGCAGGATGCAGGTCAACATCTGTGAGGGCCTTACAGATGACACTGGGCTGACATTTCTGCTCAGACAAGAGGGGGATACACATGAATAACAATACACACACTTGTCTCTGTGAAGTAAGACTGCACTCTTATGACAGCTTAAGAGTGGAGATTCAAATTCTTAAAAATGTCCATTTGTGACCGCTTCTACTTTAAACACCATACATTATTTTTTTTTTGCTAGAGGGCTATTTCATGTCTATCTGATTGGTTCCAATGCAGGTGCTCTATGGTAGACATTGGTTCCTGCTGTTTCCAATGCAGGTGCTCTATGGTAGACATTGGTTCCTGCTGTTTCCAATGCAGGTGCTCTATGGTAGACATTGGTTCCTGCTGTTTCCAATGCAGGTGCTCTATGGTAGACATTGGTTCCTGCTGTTTCCAATGCAGGTGCTCTATGGTAGCCATTGGTTCCTGCTGTTTCCAATGCAGGTGCTCTATGGTAGACATTGGTTCCTGCTGTTTCCAATGCAGGTGCTCTATGGTAGACATTGGTTCCTGCTGTTTCCAATGCAGGTGCTCTATGGTAGACATTTGTTCGCTGTTGTGATGATATGATTATCTCAACTTTCCTCTCATTTACAGTATTCGACTTGGTTTCTTTGAGCACCTGGAGTGTTGGTTTACTGAAATGGTGTCCAATTCTCATTGTATTGTTCTGGCCAAGAAGGAGGAGCTGAAGTCTGAACTGGATTTGCTCTGTCACCTTCATGAACCCAGGGGTCTACGCATAGAGATGGACATCCACAATGTCAGAGCAGGTACAGCCATGTGACACCTGGGAAGTAAACATATAAAAAAGATAAAATACACTTTATGTCAAATAAGTCAAAATATATGCAAGCTAATGCACTTATGTTTGAAATCTTACCTATTCTGTTCTATGGAAATAGCGTGATGACACCTCAGATCTTGTATTCTGCAGAATGTGGCTAAACCTCTCCTCCTGCCTTTGGACTTCCAATGAACATGGTTATAAACCCTCTGATTATGTGACAAGTTTGTCCATTGGGCACTCCTCTGGGTGCATGTCCAACAATTCTCATATGTCTATGGCCAGTTTAGGAATATATCAAAAAGTTGTGTGCTGGCAATAGGTGGAATATTACCAACATCCAGTCTATTTTGCTACATAATTTGAATCCTACATTTGCCTCTGAAGGGATTTTTCTTTCTGATTCCCTTTTAGCTGAGTTACTCCTACACTCAGAACGTGTGGACCGCCACTGCGAGGGGGTGAATCAAGCACTTAACGATTTAAAGGAAGAGAGCGCTTTACTGATTGAGAAAATGAAAAGGGAGACTGAAAATTTCCGCAGCAAGATTATGTCCATGCAAAGCACGTTCCTGAATGCCAATAAGTCTGATAAGTGAGTATATGTCTATTTACCATACATGCCACTGTTTTGTCTTTTTTATTTTTTTTTATTTGTGTTTTCATGTTACTAATTGATATCAAAGATGTGGAGACTGTTTAAGGTACAGATAGTCCATCCATAACAGCAATGATGTCTACTTGATTTGTTCACATCAGACAAAAAGTTTTCTTTAGCTCTTGGCGCTAATGGCTGCCAGCTGAACAATCCACTTGCTGTTGCACACTCAAAGTTTTCAACAGTTTTTCACACAGACTTGAGGGGCTGCTCATCCAAGGCTCTGGGGCTTCCACGAACATAGAAAACTAGTCTTGGAATGATTGGCTCTACTGCAGCATTACAAGGGATTTGCTATTATACGGCCTATACGGCATATACGGCGTATAATAGCAAATCCCTTGTAATGCTGTATATCGAAAAGTCAGAAAAGTTGGGGTTTTTTAGGCAGCCGACTGACAACTTGCACACCAAGAATTTCTTGAAATTTGGAAAAGATCACTGAAAATACACCAAGGTGCGGGAAAGGAGGAGGAAACATTTCCCGCACTTCATGTCTGTGGGTCTCCGCGAAGTCCAGTCAGCGGTTACCCTCTGGAACAGGAGTTGGAACAGCTGCATGGAGTCCGCCAAGAACCACAGATCATGAAATCCCGTAAGAAGTGAATTAGATACTGTACAAAGTATCCGTTAATTAAGAACACATAGATACATCCATGTAGTAGAGCTAATTATACGGCCTATACGGCATATACGGCCGTATAATAGCAAATCCCTTGTAATGCTGTAGTAGAGCCAATCGCTCCAAACCTAGTCATAATGGAGAATTTTTCTCTGATTGGGCGGTTTCCAGTCTTATACCCCACTCTCAGGGAAATCAAGCTATGATTCTGATGAAGGGGGCTTGTCCCTGAAACGCGTCAATCTTGGCTGACTGCGGTCGGTGGACGGTGATGTGACCGGAGGCTACCTTGTTACATAGTCGGGGGGATACCATGTTGGGTTAACAGACAGTGTGGCCTCTCGTTTGTTGTTAAAGCCTGATGAAAACGTTTGTTTGTGAGTACCTTTATCCCTTGTTTTATTTATTGTAATTAACGATTTTACACACGGAGGTGGCGCTCTGTTCCCTTTTGTTTTCTACTTGATTTGTTCAGCCTACTTGTGTCTCTGCAGCTGTATTCCCCTAAAGAGTGACAGTCATGTTTTAGCATCCTGGACAGATGAAGCATAGAAGAAACCCTTTGGGGTCTATTCCCTAAGCTGCCGTAGGCAGCCGAGTGAATGACCGACCTAAAGCGAAGTGAGCCGAACGCTGTTCGGCTATTCACTTCAGGCTGGTACGGCTGATTTCAGCCATACATCGGGTGGCTTCGGGTCGACATGCTCAGCATGTTCGGCCGACCCGAAGTGCAGAAGGAGTTCGACTCAGCCGATCCAACATCTGGATCGGCTAAGCCGAACCTCCGGCAGGCTACTGCTGCAGGCTACAGCTAGTGCTGTTCGGTCTATTCTTATAGATACCGAACAGCAGTGAGTGAATAGCCGATTGCCGCTGAGCGGCATTCGGCTCGGCTGTTCTGCTTGGTCCCACAGAGGGGAGAAAAATAGTTTAAAAAGTAGAAAAAAATAAATAGAGAACGATTGTGCGGACAGCAGTGACAGCAAGCTCCGCCCAACTGTTTTCTATTGGCCGGCGGTTCTGCTGCCGTCAAAAAAAATAAAAAAAATAAACTCTCCTGGGTGCTCCGGGAGTCTCCCGCTCCCGGCCGCCAAGGAGAGAAACACTGCTTTTTCTCTTTTTTTTTCTTTATTCTGACACGGAGCCGTGTCAGAATAGAAAAAAATAAATACATTTGGCCATAGGAATGCATTGCTAGATTCCTATTGGCTATTTCAATTTGCAATAGCCAATAGCAAACTAGCTATTGAACCCGCCCTCTGAACTGCAGCAGAGGGCGGGTGCAATGCTCGGCTCCGTGTCAGAATAAAGAAAAGAAAAAGCAGTGTATCTCTCTTCGGCGGCCGTGAGCGGGAGACTCCTGCAGCGCCCGGGAGAGTTTGCTGTCTGGAGATCAGTGTCCCTGGTTAGCTGGTAACCAGGGAAGCTGATCTCTCTGCAAGTGGCCTGAGCCAGCCGTAACATCACGGCTGGCTCCGCCCAGCTGTCAGAAGCCGGCCGCTCGTCCGGCTTTCAGCGCGGCTCAGCCAAGCCAAGGCACATGCCTTCGGCTCGACTGAGCTGCTCGGCCAAGTTCGGGAGCTCTACGGGTTATAGTGAATAGCCGTACAGTAGCCATTCGGTTCTACTGAACCGAAGGGGTCATGGGGCCGAAGCTAGCCGAAAGATCGGCCGAAGCTACGGCTAGATCCTTCGGCTGCTTCGTGAATAGACCCCTTAGTCTTTTCTTTTTTCTGAAGGTTTTACAGTATTTGTGAAGTCTTTTTAAGACCCTCCTTGTATTCCTGTCTCGAAAGTAGCACTAGCAAGTTATGTTATGGAAGATGTATGTGTGATTCGTTGTGGTGTACCAAGAAGCTGCTGGAAAAAATAGAAAGGGATGGAAAGACAAAGTACTAAAAAGAGATAACCTATCTGGTTCTTTAGTCTTGTCACTTGCACCGAATTCTTCAACAACATAACCTCCTAATGTTGACACTTCAAACAGGAAGTGAAGAAGTTTAATTAGGAAAGGCTTTAAAGTCCAAATATGCACTAAAGATTTTGCAAATAAAAAGGGGAAAAAAATTTAAATATTCTCTATCCTTACAATCATTACTTTTGCAAAGAGTTATATATATTATAAAGCAACAGATGATGTTTAGTAAATGGTTGTTCCTTATTTAAAGCAGATTCAAAGTTGAAACATGTTTATGTTACTGCCTTGAACCCTTAGCCCTGCAATGGTATGGGCTCCATCCTAGCCTGACTGGTTGCTGGTTCTCTGGCTGCAGAGAGTTCTGTGTGAGGCAGCAGCATTGACTGGCTGCCTATTCTTTAGACTTTGGGCCCACTTTCAGGCCATTTTCTTTTCAGATCTATCCATTTCCTAATAAAAGTTTATAGATTCTTTTCAAGTTTTACTTGCTAAATATCTCATGCTTTGTTTTTCATTTTCATGCCTTTTAGACTGGTAGCCCTGATCAATTCCTTGTCAACCATTTTGGATAGCCATAACAGCGGAGTCCAGACTGCCATGAGGAATTACCGCCAGCATGTGGAGGAGATGCTGGGAAAACTTTGTGATACCAACTCCGACTTCATCAAGTCTTTCAAGTAAGGCCAATATTTAATGCCATACCTTAGTCACAATTGACTGACCTACCTAACCTTTCTGTGAAACATCAGTAAAGTTCTGCTGTATCAATGTATTCTGAGAGCCAACAATCAGATATTCAGGAAAGGCTTTAATCTGGTAACTGAGTGGAAGTAAATTCTGTTTTTAGAAAGAGTATATTGATACATCAGGCCTGTATTGTTTATTGAGTCTCATACTTTAAAGTGTATGTAAACCCTAACAATAAATATCTCTTTAGACTGCTGGATATACCATTTAAAGTGTTTTGTGTATATATATCTGTAGGGTGCAAAAAATACCTGTTGATTTTGCCAGTAATCTTGTAAGCTGATAACTTACTGGATACCTTAATGAGATGGGGAAGGGGGAGCAGATGAGGAGAGAGGTTTGTGTTCTTTGTAATCCATCAGAAATTTAGGAGACAGGGCTGACAACACGTGCTAAGGATTTCAAAGTTGAAAAGACAAAGACAATAGCATCATGCAGGGGCATAACTAGAAATCACAGGGCCCCATAGCAAAATGTTTTTCCCCCTCCGCTTTAAAAAAAACTTTGGTCCTTCCTAACATTCCTACCAGATCTAAAGGGTCTGGTATTGTTTGGGAGGGGGACCTGCACACTTTAAGAATACAATTTTTTTTTTTTTAAATGTATTTTTCTTTAGAAATTATTTTTTTGCTGCAGCAGGTTCATCACACAGATGTGCCACTTTACCGGCAGGTTAAGGGGACGGGGACCCCCCAGGCACGATATTTAAAGGAATTTTTCATTTTTTTTTAATTCTTTATTTGTAGGCAAAAAGGGTGGGGTACATTGCAAAGAAGTACACGCGAGGGCCACATGGCCCCGCAGAATATTAGAACAATAGACAGTGAGACTCATAATCTAAGCATGGTGACACATTGTAATATCAGGTCCGGCACGAAGGTTTGTCCCCGCCCTTAAGGCATTTTTTACGGTGAATTAACGTAAAACCAACACTAACGTCGAGGTGAGTGGTCAGGCCTAGCCCCACAATATGGGCGGCCAAGTCCACCACGATCACCCCTGAACCACACAAAAAGACTGACACAGAAAAACACTGACATACAAAGCGAAAGGAGGACAAAACTCAAGAGAAGGGGAAAGCAGCGTGTAGTACCATTACCACCTCCTGGCGGCCCATGGTCGTCTCCACCCCCCGGTGTGTGCACGCCCGTCCCAAGGCAGGTGGCATAGACCGGTAATACCTCAATCTCCGGCATCTACCCCACACACTGTTGCGAAAGCCGCCGAGCTCCTGAAAATTACCCAGGTCCCCCAGGTAGCAACATATCTGGACTGTGACTCCCGTACACTGGCGGTTAAATCCTCCATCAGTCTAATCTCCTCCACCCGTCGCACCCACATGCCCACAGAAGGAGGGCGAGTTTGTCGCCACAAAACTGGTATGCAAGCTCTGGCTGCGTTCAGCAGGTGGATCAACAGCGATCGTTTATATGCTTTTCGGGAGAGCGGTGCCAGGTGGAGAAGATAGACCGACGGCGTGAAGGGCAGTTCATGTCCCGTGATGTCTGATATCACAGCTGCAATGTCAGTCCAAAATGGCTGAGCCTTCGAGCAATCCCAGAAGACATGTAGCAGGGAACCCTCTGCGGACTCGCACCGCCAGCACATTGGGGACACCTCTGGGTACATGACATGGAGGGTCGCGGGCACCCTGTACCATCTGGTTAAGAGTTTATACCCTGCCTCCTGGTATTTGTTGGAGACAGAAGATTTTAGGGAAAAGTACAGCATGGTGTCCACTTGGACAGGGGTGAGGGCCAGGTCCGAGGCCCACTGACGAATGAAGTATGGGGGGGTCTGGTCAGGGGGGTCACGCAGACCCTTCATCAAGTATGCCAGGGAGTGTCTGAGCGGCTCAGCCCGCTGACACAGAGCCTCAAACTCCGTCAGCGGCCGTTTAGGGCCGGGCACCTCCGAGAACGAGCATAGGAAATGTCGCAGCTGAAGCGCACACCACAAACGCATGGGGGGATCAGTAGTGGCCTGGATCTGTGCTACCTGTTTCCACAAGATATGGGCCTGTAGCTGGCACACTGCAGAGTGTCTTTCCCCTCTTTCGGGATAACCGTGACATGGGCTCTCAGAGAGTCCCGGGGTATGGGTCTGTCCTCTAATATGGCGTTGAAAGCAGAGAGGAAATGGGCTCCCAACTGCTCCCGGTAAAGCTTGTAGTACGGGAGGGTTAGCCCATCTGGGCCAGGGGCCTTACCGGGCTTCATGTCCCGTATAGCACAATCAAATTCGGCTTGGGATAGTGGGGCCTCTAACGCCTGACTATCAGATTCAGAAAGACGTGGCATGCCTGAGCAGGCCAGGTAATCCCTGGTTTCCGATCCCCTCGCCTCCTGGGCAGGTTGGTCGGGCGTAGCTCGTAAGTTGTACAGTTTAGTGAAGAATGAGTGGAAGTGTGCCGCTATGTCTGAGGACCGCGATGCGACCGAGCCCGAACCCGAATTGATGGACGGAATGAAGTTGCGAGATCTAGGGTCATGCAGGGCATTGGCGAGAATCCGACCGGCCTTGTTCCCATATTCATAGAACGAGCGGCGGTATCTGGCCAACTGGGCCTTCACTCTGTCCATCAGGAGCTCATGTAGTTCGGCTCTCGTTCTCACCAGGGATGCCAATATGTCAGTGTCTAACGCTGCCTTGTGGCGCAATTCTAGTTCTCGGAGTTGGGCATACAGGGCGTCCACTCTCTGCTGTCGTGCACGCTTGCGCCTGGCTCCCAGCTTGATAAGAGTACCCCTGATCACACATTTGTGTGCTTCCCACAAAGTCAGGGGGTCCTGCGTCGGGGAGCTATTTTCCCAGAAGTAGCAGGTCAGGTCTGATTGAACCTCAGAGGCTATGTCCAGGTCCTGCAACAGGGATTCGTTAAGACGCCAGGAGAGCGGAGGTCTATTCTCACCCCCAACATCCAAGCTTATATGAACGGGAGAGTGGTCCGAACAAGGTCGAGGTACCAATTGAGACCTCTGTTACAAGCGGGAGTGTCGCATGTTTTACAAGGAAGAAGTCAATCCTAGAGTATGATTGATGAGGGGCCGAGTAGTGTGTAATCCCTACCCATAGGGTTGTCTATGCGCCAGGGGCAGCAAGTAGGCCCCGGTAACGTTCGGAGAGCAAAGGGCATGAGTCCCAAAACATCGCAGACAGGGCCACAACTTCTCACAGGGGAGGCCTATATGTCTGAGGGCAAGAACATCTCATGGGGGTGGGAAAGGGCATATATCAAGGAAGGTGGCGACCCACCGATCGCTCAAATCTCCTCTTGGCGCAATTGCATCTGCAGCATGTGAGCCTTCTGTTGCAATAATGAGGCTTCCAAGGTGGACACCCTGTCAGCCATGGAGCCCCCAGACAGCTCCAAGGCCGATATGCAGTGGTCATGCTTCTGGATGTCTGAGCGCACCTCCGCCAGGTCTGTGTGGAGTGTAGCTACCAGCTGGGCCATCATCTCCTGCATGTCTGCTCGGGTTGGGAGTGCTGCCAGCAGCTCATGGAGTCCCTCACCACTGGTCAGGCCTGCGGTACAGGGAGGCGGCGATTTCGGCCCCAGGTATGGAGAGGGCACCTCGGACATCTGTCCCAATATGGAGGAGGCCGGTGAGGAGGGCGGCTCGGAGATGGCCACCAGAGCTCGCCCGTGGGCCACGTCGGGGACCGCCCCGCTGGCGAGTCAAAATTGAGCTCCGCGGTCCGGGCGCGTACAGCCGTGGGGAGATATAGGCGTCCATTCGGGCCTGCGAACGGGGCTTGGCGGAGGAGCGGGGGGTCTTAGGCTTCTTACCCGTCCTCTTCATGGGGTAGCCGGGTCTGGAAGAGATTGATCTACTGATTATAGCACCCCAGGTCCGCGGGGCTCTGCAGATCAGCGTCCGCTCGCCGCCATGCTCAGGCCACTGAATTTTTCATTTTTATTGTTACACTTTAAGGCCCCGTTCACACTGAGCGATTTATCGCGCGGTAATTCCCGCGATATCGCGGCTATTTACCGCGTGATATCGCTCTCCAATGCTTGGCAATGGGGCAAAGGGTCCTGCGTCGCTACAGCAGTACCCTTTTTGGAGCGGATTTTGCCGCGATTCAATGCTTTTTAATGCAAGCTGTTGCGCGATATCGCGCAAAATGCAAATCGCGCAGTGTGAATGGGGCCTCAGTCATGTTAAAATCGCTGCTCCTTTTAAAACTGTATTCCTTTTATGCACAATAACTTGCATGTAAGCCCTTTTAAAGGGGACAATTGTTTTTGAAAGTTCTACCCCTATTGACTTGCATTGAGTTCAAATTCGAACTTTTTAGATGTTCTAAAGTTCGAATTCGAACAGAACTCGGGCCTGTTTGGCCCATCACTATTGGTAACTACATACATAAGAGGACAGCTGATTGTGGTTGGGATAAGCAACAATCCCAAGGCTCCATTCACACTGGAGCGTCTGTCCTCGTGTACTCAGCTGTACGAATACATGCGGAGCCGCTCTAAACAGCAAAAACAATGCACTTTAATGTACATTATTCAGACTATTGCGGCCCCAAAACAGTGCAAGCGCGATAATACAGCGGATTCTGCGTGTTTGCGGCTATATAATAGCCGCAAACAGGCGGAATCCGTGCGGATTAAAAATGTATGGCTCCATTCAAATATAGCATTTGCGTTTCCCGCACGGTTTCCTGTGTGGAAGACCACACAGGACGAAACGCTACATGTGAAACAACTGCAAACCGCTCGTTTGCGGCCATTATAAAACAGCGAACATTCGGAATCCACCGGATTCGACGCTTGCACTATTTTGGGAACCGCGCAATACTCCGCAATAGTATGAACAATGCACATTGAAGTGCATTGTCTTGTGGATTTGGAGCGGCTCCGCGTGTATTCGTACAGCCGGATACGCCCCGACAGCCGCCCTAGTGTCAACGAAGCCTTAGCGTTTTTGTCCCGCACGAAACGGAATTGCTATATGTGAATGGAGCCTAAATGGACATAGCGTAGGGATGGAAGTAGTGGGAATATTCAGCTTGCTTACAGTCAATTGGCAATGCAAGAATATAAAGCAGATCTCCACTTATGACAGTAAATATGAAAAATAAAAACACACAATCTGCAGCAATCCAGAAACAAGAGCATTATCTTAAGTACACATAATTTACATTTCATCAAAGACAATATATTCCCATTAGCTGCACAACTGCTATAGATAAGCTATCTATTAAGCAACCCAAGTTTAGTAGGCATAAGAATAACCATGCAAGACGGAACTGTAAAAATACTATACCCACAATTTTAATTAGAATTGCTATAGGACTGACTCACTTTTTCACAATTATAAGAAATTATAATACCGTATAATAAATAATTATAAAAAAATTAGAGCTGCAGCTAACGATTATTTTCAAAATCGATTAGTTAGCCGATTATTAAGTTCGATTAATCGGTTAATCGGATAAACAATAAAATACATTTTTAAAAATGGCTCCAGTGATGGACTACTAGTTTGTATTGAAATGGGACTCATTATATAAGTGCAAAAATGAAATTGTGTATTTGCAAACTTTCCTCCTCTTCACCCCATTACAGCTGAAAAGTTCATACCAAAAATGGTTCTTCTTCAAAGATGCATTTGGAGTTTTCCTCATTCACTCAGAGCTGTGCATTGTACAGAAGAGGAATTGAGAACAGGCATAGTAAGGATGATTCGGGTTTACATATTAGCGTCTCACACTGCAAGTAGAGGAGATATAATGGTTCAGTCCTGCCTCATTTCAAAACAGTATCCCGCTTTTCCTTTAGATTGGACTTTATTTATATTAAATGAAGTGAAACTCATGTGTTGAAAATTAAAACCACATGTTTTAATGCTGCTGATAATCACTGCTTTTTTCTACAGATTATTTTCAGAAGGTGGCAATTTTTCTCCTGAGGAGATTGAGACTCTCCGTAAGAGGCTGCATAAAGCGTCAGCCACTATCGCTTCATTTGAGGGCTCCATCATGGTGGACCTGGAGGGGCTGGAGTCTTTGTGCTTAGAACAGGTAGATATGGTGCAGTTACACATCTAACTGAGGAAAGATAGTTTCCTTGTCAGCTATATACACATTGCTCAGTATTTTATGTCACAAGGTTCACCTCTGTTGAAATGCTAAAACCTCAATGAATACCCTACAGAGATACTGTATATACAGGAATTTATGGAATAACATTTGCACGAAATAATAATTTCACACTGGATGGAAGCTGTGGGTTAAGCAACATGCTGGCTGATTGTACATCTCTCAAGAAATCTTTTCCTGAATTCTGTGCAGATGAAAATCTGTGTGTTCCTAACTCAATCCAGTTGGAGTAACGTTTAAAAAAGCGTCTCGCTCTTCATACCTTACAGCAGAACCAGTGTCATACCTGGTGTCAGACGCTGACCCGAGGGGTACATTATTACCTAAATGGGTAGACACCTTTACCATGGATGAAATAATAGGAAATTCTTTAAGTCAGGGAGTACATAATTAATTTTGGGGAGATGCAGCCTGAAGCCTTCCCATGATGTTGGCAGTACATTATTATTATTATCATACAGGATTTATATAGCACCAACACTTTGCTCAGTGCTTTTACAAAATAGTAATAGACAGTACAGTTACAATACAATTTACAGTACAATACAGTTTCAGAACAATAGGGTTGGGAGTGCCCTGCTCGTGAGAGCTTACACTCTAGTAGGAGGGGCAAGTGATCCAAAAGGTAATAATTGTTTGGATTGAGTTATTGGAGGAAGTAAAAGGCAGTTATGTTGAGATGAGGTAGGCTTCCCTGAAGAGATGGGTTTTTAAGAAGATTGCAGATCCAAAAACTCTAGCAGCGAGATTTCCTGCTTAGTGATTCAGCTCACCCTGGGTCCACTCAAAAGTTAAATATCTGTTTAGGTTCACCGATATATATATATTATAGTACCTTTATCAGCATTTCCTTTTTTTTTTTTCAGTCACTGCACCCATTAAAAGTATGCAAAATCTTGAGGCGCCCCAGACTAAAATTTAAAAACCGTAAATATGAAAATCAACATGTGGTCCCTCCAAAATCCATACCAGACCGTTATCCCAGATAAGGCCTCTGATAGGTATTTTAAGAGGGGCAACAAAAACATAAGAAAAATGTGGGGTTCAGCCTTCACATTAGGAGCCCCCTTCTCATCAGCGCCCCGCCCTTTTGACATGACAGTCACCGTCTCTCACAGTAGGAGCTCCTCTTTACATTAGATGCCACCCTTCACCCTCTTATACTTAAGGAGCCCTCATCACACCAGAGGCGTGAGGATGTGTGGACATTTCAAGGCACCCCCGAGGAAGCCAGGAGGTTTAGAAAAGCAGATAGATAGATAGATAGATAGATAGATAGATAGATATATGTGAAATACATCAGCTACTGTTTTGTGAAACCTGTATTTTAAATGACATCAATACTAACTTAAAAGAAAAGTCAGATTTCAAGCCAGTGTGTTATTTTTGGCACTCATCTTCGGTGATCCTTTATTCTTTCCTGTTCTTGAAGCAGTTTTGCATTGATTGAGTTCCTCTGCTTCTTAGATTGTTAAGCTGTGCAGGCAGGTCTATATTCTCTTCATGGGCCAGGTTTTCTTGTGTTTGTCTGTAAGTTTGTAATTAACATCCTATTATTTAATGTGCAGCACTGCAGAAAATGTGGTTGCTGTATACATAAAGGATTATAAAAATACCAACTGAAATGTCAATACAGAATGCATTCTTACTATATAATTTCATCTTTTAATTCAGGCCACAGAAGTTGTTAAAAAGTTTGAAGACAAATTCCAAAGCCTAACGATGGACACAATCTTCCTAGAGAATATACAGAAATCCCTAACTAATCTGCAGGTGAAGATCAAAGCACTGGTAAGTGAAGTTACTGTACTGATTCTGCAAATAATATAAACACTATATTTACAGATACAATTCTATTGTTATATTAAAGGTTTTTGGATTAAAGGGTTTCTAAACCCTCTGTTTTTTTCTGCATATATCTACTGCTAGCAGGCAGTAGATGTATGCAAAAAGGTTGAGAGAAAAAAAAAAAGCGGTTTAAACTTACCCCTGTGTTTGCCGTGCTATACCCGTCCGAGACTCCAAAACTGCTCGGCCAGCCGCAAAGCATCTTGGGGCGGGCGCATGCGCAGTTTGGATTTTCGTCCGGGAGACGAGGAGAGACACAAGGTAAGTTCTATGGACGCGTGCACCCGCATGCAGACACCGTGGGACAGGAAGTGCCAGCAAGGACAGAGGAGTCAGCACTGGATCGAAGACCCGCCGCAGCGCTCGAGAGAAGGCTGAAAACGGCAGGAAAGTAGAGGAAGATCGGATTAAGAGACATCATTTAAGGTAAGTTCTTTAATTAACATTGGGGGGAGGGAAAGAAAAATGTAACTTTAATGTCACTTTAACTACCTTAACGGCCCTAGTAGAAAAACGGCCGGCCGGGAGCTCTCTAGAGCTCTCTAGATCTGAGCGGGCGTCTTTAGACGTCCGCTCAGACACGCCCCCTCGCGCGTGCGGGAAATGCCTGATATTTAAAAACATACAAGCGATCCGCCGGCTGTAGCATTACGCCGCACATGTTACATATCGCCGCGAACGTCGGAGTGAGAGCAATAATTTTAGGGTCATCAATCACTGATAACGCTAAACTGATGAGCGGTAAAAGCTTTTAAAGCGTCGCCTATGGCCAATTTTGGGTATGGTAGTTTTCTGCGATTGCGCGGGTGCGTGCAATTTTAAAGCTTGACATGTTTGGTGTCTATTTACCCGACGTGACCCGGTCTTATATATTTTACCAAAAAACTGGGTAATAATAAAAGTTTCCTAACATAATGTAAAACAAAACCTTTTTTTTTTTTCAAAATTTTCAGTAATTTTTCCTAATTATAGTAAAAAATAAAACCCGTAGTGGTGATAAAATACCACCAAAGAAAGCTCTATGTGTCCCCAAAACATGGTATGAAATTAATTTCAGTACAGCGTTACATGACGGAATAAACGTCAGTCAAAGTACCGCAGCGCTGAATACTAAAAAATGGCCTGGCCAGGAAGGGGGTGTAAACACCTGGTTTCAAGCAGTTAATGTAATAAACATTTAATACAATGTGATGCTCATAATACACACACAGCTGAAAAAATTGTAGGGACACCTCACTCCTATCCCCTTCCGGTCACAGAAAAGAGCATTATAGATTTTCTAAAGTCAGTGCACAATAGTAGCCTTTCTATTTGTAATTATCCTTTAATGTCACTTTAAGTTTTTATTTTATATATTTGTATTAGGTGGATGTGTTTTTAAATTTGTGTACTATTTACTTTTTTAATATTTAAATCAAATTATAAATTAAATAAGTATACATAAACATGAGTATGATCTGAATGTGCATAGGTTGTGACCAGCAATTGTCAGAGCCAGCAGATTAACACTTACCTGGAACAACTACGGATGAAGACAGATGCCTGTGCCAGCCCCAACATGGATAAACAAGTATGTTGTCAGTGTGCCAACTAATGAATTAAAGGTGGCTGTTTGTCCAAGACCCCTGTGTAGCATAGGGATCTAGTGATTTCTTACAACCTCTTTATAAACAACTGCAACTACCTTTTGTCTTCCTCTTAGCCCACTATCACTTATGAGGATGCAGAGTGTTTTTTGACATTTGAGTGAAAAGCTGAACTGTAGCAATTACTACATGGTTTGTAAATGTGAGCAGACATGGGGGTGTGTCAATGGCAGCACTCTTCTGCCCCACAGGGGCTTCTGCACACAATGGTCACAGATATTCCAGAATGTGCTTTTAACAGGTGAACTGCAAATCATTTTTGGTAGAAAACTTTGTAATGCACAGGCAATAATTATTCCCTTCTTGTCCATTGAGGGACAAAGGAAATATTTGACTTTTGGGTAATGCTACCGCCTACAGGAGGTTTGGACACCTGCAAACATAAAACTGTAGGTCAGCCCAGGATATTCCCTCCTTGTAACAGCATGCCTTAGTTTTTTTGCTAGTGTCTTAGGAGACGGGACCTCTTTTCTTCAACTCTGCTAGCAAAAGCCTAACCTCTTTTTTGTTAGCATTTTTTTTGTACACCACTGCTAAAACAGGTCTCTACAATTGCAGCTATGTGACGCAGCCTATACTCAGCTTGGCGTTTGGAGTGCAGCATCCAACATCCAATCCAGTGGAACCTTCTGGATAAGATGTTGCAGGGCTAGCCTGAAAGTGTCCTTTGGGCACTGGGCTTCATGAATGGTACTTTCTAGACTGTTCTCGTAATAAGTTCACCACATAGTGCTTTCCAGGTCCAGAGTCATTGGCATTGCCTCAGTGTTTGCCCTGTCTTCAAAAACTCACTCGGAGTAGGCAGAACAGACTGAGCCCTAGTTTACATTTCTGAGTTCTTTTAAAATGACCAATGTCTACCAGTTTTTCTTACAACAGAAGGGGTTATGCTGAGGGTCTGAGCCATATTGTTATCCACTGTGTGGAGTGTTGTGTGCATCCTCTGCATTTTCTTTCCTGTCTTTCAGCGTTGACAAAGCATTTCCCCAGTGCTGCTCCTATTCCGATCTCCAGTGCATACATTGACTATGGTTACCTCTGGTCATCCAACCCTTACCAGCTATCTGGGTTTTATAAGTACCCGAGGCCTTGCTTCCTACCCTGAACTTATTTGCTTTATGGCTATGTGGTCACAACACACGGGACCGTCCGGCTCCAGCACATGGCCCCAATTAACACTCCCTTTATGGTTCCAGGGATGTTTATCCTGTGCATTCAGAAAGTACTGATATCTGTAATCTTACCCTTTGACTATAGGGTCTACCTTTTCATCAGAGTTCTCCTTTTCCTGCAGGGTGAGCTTGAGTCTCCTGCTTTATCGGCCTGCTCGTCTCGACTACAGTCAAGCAAGACTTTGTGGCCAAATTCACCCAGTTTCTGACTATTTCTGACCACAGAGTCTCTGAGTGTTCTCCTCTGCTTTCCTCTACAGAATCTATTGCTCACCTGCATTCAGTATTAGAGGCATCTAAGCCATTAATTGCAGTGACGATTTCTGATTTTGGGTTGCCCCAGCCTCCACCTGACTAAATAGGTTTTGAGGAGTTGCAGTCTTCTGCTGTTACTCCAGAATTGAAAGAGGTGGTGTGGGCTCTAAAGATCACCATCCCTTTCAGGATTTTGACTCTGCAGTCTCACCCCTGCACCCAGTGTTGGTCCTAATGCCTTCACACAGCACCCACATTTTAGGACGCTTAGACGACCTTCTGTGGATAAATCAGTCATTGTGGACCCTATTGGACAACGTCTACCTGATTGTATAGAAGTCCCCTTGATTTGGCTGGCTCCCGTGTTGACAGTCATTGGCGCTGGGAGTTCTTTATTGTCTGCAGGCAGTTTAAACCTGACAAGTCAGGAAGTTACCCATCTCTTAGCTGTTGCAAGAGAGTTGTGTGTCCGTCAGGCACCCCGTTTTTTCTAGTTTCTCCCCACACTGCCTCAGCTCTTCCCTCTGCTGTTGGAAATTAAGTTGGTTGAGTTTTTGAGCAGACTAAGTTGTTTACCCCTGAGGATCAGGTAGTTCTTAGCCTAGATAATCAGTCCTACAGTTCTGAGGTTGGAAAAGGTTAGAGAATCCTTATCTACTGGTTTACTGTTACTCTGTTTGGATTCTGACTTGACGGACCTGACTACATACCTGGATCTAGGTCCTACCCCCTTGTTTACTTCGCAGGTGAATATTATTAATTGTCATGATGCGGTTTTTTTTGGCCCCGGGAGTCAGGAGCATCTGTAAACATGTGGCTGTTTCGAGTATCTAGGTAGCCAGTGTCATGCTCCAAGGGTGTAGACCAGGGGCTGACTGGCAACTTTTAGCCCAGGGGGCAAGTACAACCCAGAGGCCCATGGTGCGGCAACTAGGCCCCCCTCCCGCTCTGCCTCTTCCCCGCATTCTCCCCGCCCCTGCCTGCCACTTTTGCCATCCTTGTAAAAGTAGTGTTAATGTATTTATCGGTTTAGGAAATGTAAAGCACACTGGTAGTGGAGGGATGCCACGTCAGGGCTGTGCGCGTGCATGACTGCTGCGACCCTGGTAGTTCTGCCACTAACTCAGAAATACATTGTACAGCAGAATGGCATTGGCTATAGAGAACTACAATTCCAAGAAATACATTACACAACAATGCAGAATACCATCAGCTATAGCGGACTATAAATCCCAGCAATACATTACACAGCAATGCAGAATACCATCAGCTACAGAGGACTACAAATCCCAGCAATACATTACACAGCGCAATGCAGAATAATATGAAGCTACATACCCTGTTGCTCTGGGTTCTCCGCCTGATGTCTAAAGGGTCTCAGGTGGGCTGTGCAGGCTCTCACCAGGGGTCCAGAGAGTTTCACGGGTGCGTCTGTGTGCAGCAGAGGTGGTTCCCTAATTAGGTGCTCAGGGGGCCAATGTGGACCGCCAGGTGGTCAGTGCGGGCTCTCTGCTCCAAAACAAAAGGCTCCAGTGATGGACTACTAGTTTGTATTGAGATTGTAGTCCATCACAGGAGCAAGCTTTGGAGCGGTGGAAGTAAGAAAAGAAAAAAAGTGTGGTGTGCAATATAGTGAAATGGAAAGTGTAAAATTATACAGCAATCAATGCAGAATGGCACCGGCTATAGAGGACTACAAATCCCAGCAATACATTATACAGCACAATGCAGAATACCACCAACTATAGAGGACTACAAGTCCCAGCAATACATTATACAGCGCAATGTGGAATTCCACCAGCTATAATGTACTATTGCTGGGATTTGTAGTCCTCTAAACTGGTGGAATTCTGCATTTTGCTGTATTGGGGACTACAAATCCCAGCAATAATACATTATACAGCACAATGCAGAATACCACCAGCTATAGAGGACTACAAGTACCAGCAATAGTACGTTATAGCTGATGGAATTCCGCATTGCGCTGTATAATGTATTATTGCTGGGGTTTGTAGTCCCCTATACAGCGCAATGCAGAATACCACCAGCTATATAGGAGTACAACAAATCCCAGCAATACATTATACATGCATCCCTCTACCAGGATATTGTTATTAGGTGCCTGGTTCCAGACTCGGGCTGTGAGTTTTTTGCTCTCAGCATTGGCTTCCGGTCAGCTTCTCTGGATGATCCCTGTAGGGAATTGGTTTTCACTTCACCCTTCTGATTCAATGAGGTAGATCAGCTTCCAAGCATATGGTCTCTCCCTACCCTTTCAGACATTCCTCACTAATTATGTGAGTATTTTCTTGTTTTTGAATGGCATCAGACAGGGGTTGAGGACTCATTCAGTGCCAGTTAGTGGTTGCCTGCTTTTGCACACCTCTCAGTTTGACTGATTTTGGATGTCCAGAAGGTTCAAGACTTCCTGTGTACATCAATTGATGATATAGAAAATAGGATTTTTGTAAATACTTTCCTGGAGTCCATGTATTTTGTCAAAATGAGAAGTATTCTGGATTTCTTAATTGTAGTTCAGCATGTTTTTGGGATTTAGGTGGCATGTTGTTCTTGATTCTGTCTGTTTTATATGTGATTATATTTTGATCCATGTAGAACGTCTGAATTGTATCTTTACTGCATACTGTTCTTTAACAATAGGTGGTGACTAGCCAAGAGCTATATGACTTTGCTAAGCTTATTATGGAAGAAGTCTCCAGGAGGAGCCGCTACTTGTCTTGCCTGTTGGTAAGTTCATGAATTTAATAGATTAAATGGTCCTGGCACTAATACACAGTCAATACAGGTAGTCTGTGTTGCTACATTCTCAAAAAGTATTGGTGCATCCCAAAAAGTGCCCGACTTCCCATAGTGTATGATTTTTGGGTAATTCTTTCAGGTCAAAGTCCAAGCAAACAGCAACATACATTGACAAAATTCAAATACGTTTACTGTTTTACCTGCCAAAGGATTTGTAAATCTTTTTAGCCTTGTAACCCAAGGTGATGCATAAAGCAGTAAATCTGAACCAGTGAGTAGTATATCTATACCATTGAGTAGTAAATCTGAACAAGGGAGTAGTAAATCTGAACCAGGGAGTAGTAAAGTCGAACCATGAAGAAGCAGAATAAGCTTTGCTGTGATTTGTCAGAGGGCTAAACAAAATTACAAATCCTTTGGCCAGTAAACATTTCTGTGTTTCCAATGTGTATTATGCCATTTCCCTGGAGTTTCACTCTAAGATTTTCCTTCTGAATTATCTTTTTCATCTTGCAGGAGCCCAGTCCCATTCTTCCAGAAGTCCCATTACAAGGCCCAATTGCAGCAGCAGCTCGTGTAGACGCCCCATTGAGACAGGATGGCAAAGTAGTGTTTGGGACCCATGACAGCCTGCTGAATCCTAGCAGAATAGGAAAACTGGCTCTGGATGATGCAGCACTGGGTGTGATCAAGAACATCATGAAGTAAGTGCACAGAAACCATCATCTCTGAGCGTTATGTAGGAAAACTGCTTTGATTGCCCATGTAGGTAGAAGTCAGCAGTTCTCTACTGCTGTTCTGCAATTTGAATATCACATATATTACCCTCCCTGCTGGAGTTTTCATTTATAATTCAGCAGGACCATTGAGAATTCATTTTGGGAGGGTACAGGTTTTGAAGCTAGACTGTTTAACCTATATATGATATAGAGTTGGTGATAAAAAGTACCATCTCTGTGTTTGTAGATGATACCAAGTTATGTAGTGTAATACAGTCCTTACAGATGTCTCCATCTTACAAGCAGATCTGAATGCTCTGTGTGATTGGGCATCTATTTGGCAAATGAGGTTTAATGTTGAGAAATGTAAAGTTATGCACTTGGGGACTAAAAACATGCATGCCTCATACACTCTAGGGGGAGTATGTTTGTGGGAGTCAATGATGGAGAGAGATCTGGGTGTTCTGGTAGATCATAGACTCAATAATAGCATGCAATGTCAAGCCGCAGTTTCTAAAGCAAGCAAAATACTTTCTTGTATGATAAGGGGTCTAGACTCCAGAGACAGAGACATAATCCTGCCCCTGTACAAGACATTAGTAAGACCTCATCTGGAATATGCAGTTCAGTTTTGCGGAACAGTTCACAAAAAGGATGTTGTGGAACTGGAAAGAGTACAGAGAAGGACAACTAAACTCTTAAGAGGCATGGAGGAGCTCAGCTATGAGGAAAGATTAACTGACCTGAATTTGTTCTCTCTGGAGAAGAGGCGATCAAGGGGGGACATGGTCACCGTGTATAAATACAGAACTTGTCCATATAGTGAGCTCGGTACCAAACTATTCACTTTAAGGTCACTGCAAAAGACAGGTATACACTCTGCATCTGCAGAAAAGGCGGTTTAACCTTCACATACAGAGAGGCTTCTTTACAATAAAAGCTGTGTAACCCTGGGACTAGTTCTAGCTAGCACCGTTAATTGTTTAAAAAAAAAATCTGGATGCATTCCTATATGCACAGAATATTACTGGATATTAACATTTTATAAGTCAAAACACCAGAGATTGTTGATCCAGGGAATATCCATTGGATCAGAGTGATATTCATTGTAGCAAAGTGAACCGTGCTTTATAGGGTTTTTTTTGCCTTCCTCTGGATCAGCTGAGGGTAACTGTGGGTATAGGGTTCTGTTTATGGAGGTTTTTCTTTTTTTTTCCCTCTTCCCCTCCTATGGTCACCGACGAGGGTGAGTGATCTGACTATTCTTTTAGGTTCTGCTTCAAATGCAGTCATCATTTATTGAGGTTTAACAAAATTAAATCTTCCTGCTTGCCATGAATATTCCTTAGATGGTTAACTTCCGTGGGAGAACCTAATGCTGTGTATAGTACAAGCCCTTATTTGACATCAGTTAAAGTGGACTTACAGGCAAACAGCTACATACAAAGATGAAATACATATATTGGAGCTGTTTTACATGCCAAAAGATCTGTATTTCCATCTATCCAGTCCATTGGGCATCTATTTGGCAAATGAGGTTTAATGTTGAGAAATGTAAAGTTATGCACTTGGGGACTAAAAACATGCATGCCTCATACACTCTAGGGGGAGTATGTTTGTGGGAGTCAATGATGGAGAGAGATCTGGGTGTTCTGGTAGATCATAGACTCAATAATAGCATGCAATGTCAAGCCGCAGTTTCTAAAGCAAGCAAAATACTTTCTTGTATGATAAGGGGTCTAGACTCCAGAGACAGAGACATAATCCTGCCCCTGTACAAGACATTAGTAAGACCTCATCTGGAATATGCAGTTCAGTTTTGCGGAACAGTTCACAAAAAGGATGTTGTGGAACTGGAAAGAGTACAGAGAAGGACAACTAAACTCTTAAGAGGCATGGAGGAGCTCAGCTATGAGGAAAGATTAACTGACCTGAATTTGTTCTCTCTGGAGAAGAGGCGATCAAGGGGGGACATGGTCACCGTGTATAAATACAGAACTTGTCCATATAGTGAGCTCGGTACCAAACTATTCACTTTAAGGTCACTGCAAAAGACAGGTATACACTCTGCATCTGCAGAAAAGGCGGTTTAACCTTCACATACAGAGAGGCTTCTTTACAATAAAAGCTGTGTAACCCTGGGACTAGTTCTAGCTAGCACCGTTAATTGTTTAAAAAAAAAATCTGGATGCATTCCTATATGCACAGAATATTACTGGATATTAACATTTTATAAGTCAAAACACCAGAGATTGTTGATCCAGGGAATATCCATTGGATCAGAGTGATATTCATTGTAGCAAAGTGAACCGTGCTTTATAGGGTTTTTTTTGCCTTCCTCTGGATCAGCTGAGGGTAACTGTGGGTATAGGGTTCTGTTTATGGAGGTTTTTCTTTTTTTTTCCCTCTTCCCCTCCTATGGTCACCGACGAGGGTGAGTGATCTGACTATTCTTTTAGGTTCTGCTTCAAATGCAGTCATCATTTATTGAGGTTTAACAAAATTAAATCTTCCTGCTTGCCATGAATATTCCTTAGATGGTTAACTTCCGTGGGAGAACCTAATGCTGTGTATAGTACAAGCCCTTATTTGACATCAGTTAAAGTGGACTTACAGGCAAACAGCTACATACAAAGATGAAATACATATATTGGAGCTGTTTTACATGCCAAAAGATCTGTATTTCCATCTATCCAGTCCTGAGATGTACACAGCTCTGCCACACAATTCAGCTCTCTCTAGACTGTTTTTTTTTCAGCTGTTACGTAACCCATACAGATCTTGTCCTTTCCCCAGCCTGTGACTGGACAGATAAAGGAGAAGTAGCACATTGATGAGCTTTCGCTCTGCACTCTCTTCCTATAAAAAGGCTGCTTACTAGCACGTGAGCACTGTAGCACAAGTGATTGGCTCTTCTGGTGCTTGTCTGTCTCTTCCATTCTAAGCTCTAATACAGGGGATTGCAAGAGGTTGCTACCAAGTCAAATGTAGGTACGTATATTGTTTACATTCAAAATATATATAGTTAATGACGTATTAATAAATATAGAGTTGCAATATTTTGTGTGCCTAGTATAAGCTTTACCTTACTGCCAAGATGGACTGCTTGTTGGGGAAGATACCGCCGAAGATACTTATTAGGTTTCTATGACTATAAATTGTAGCACTTCCCCTAACTATCAGTATGTCCCAGCACAGCGCATTCCAAAAAAGGGTTTTGACTTCACACACACCTGACTCTTCCATAAAAAGAGCTGTAAATCATTTAATGGCGTCCACTGAAAATAAACAGAAAGAGTTTATCAAACTAAAAAAGAAAGAAGAATGATTGCGTGCATTGTATCACTTTGTTACAGGGCACAACGAACCAATGGTGAGTCCCAACAGAAACATAATGATGGGAATCGACTGTCCAGCTTTGCAGGTATGATGGGTTCAGCAGATGAGATCAGTGTTTTTCAGTGCCAATCCTCAATGGCTCCTAACGAAGTATATTTCCCAGTACTCAAAGTCAAATGTAATCTAGCAAGTGCTCTTTTAACCCTTTACTACAAGCAAAGCCATGCTTCCACCTTGTAGACTGGAAAATAAACCATCAGCAGCCATTAAAGGAGAACTATGGGGTTAGGGCTTTTCCCTATAGTTCTTCTAAGGGTAACGGGATCACACAAACTAGCGTCCTCCCGTCACCCAAAGCTCGCGGTATACTGAGACGCCGCAGCCGGAACGGATCCCGACAATTCTGTCTGGATCCACCAGCTGCGTGAGTGACAGCTGGCTCTGCCTATCTAGAGGCAGAGCCAGCTGTACCCTCCCCCGTCCGTTCCGCCAGTCAGCGCTGGAGGATCGGACAGGGGAGGGGGGGAATCCCTGCAGGGAGCCATGAGTGACACAGTCTCTGCACGGATAGCTCGAGAAGTGAGCGAGCGCCGGTATGTGTTCGCTCACCTCCCGATCTACTGAGCCGACCTGTGATAGCTTAATTGTCACAGGTCGGCTCAGATTATGAGGCTGAGTGAAAATCACTCGCCTCATAATTCACCTTTAAGGACCAGAGTAGAAAAACCGTGGATTAGAGAGAAGTGACCTACGGATATGCAAAATACAATTCACAGCAAGAACTATGCTGCCATCTACCTTTCAGTTATATGCATCGCCTGCACTAAGAACATTGGAAATGAAATATACAGAACTTATATAAATATATATACTCATTTTTCTTTGTAAACCATTTGCTTCCTGTTCACCCCTAAAAAAGATAAGGCTCATTTGCTCATATATTCATTTACCTCCACACTGCGGAAAGGTAAATGTGCTTTGTTTTACATAGCAGGGATCAGGGAGGTAAATGAATTGGTGAGTGGCTGTCCAATGTTGAGATATCTGTGCATATTTATGGTGATTTGTTCAGGAGCATGTGTAAACTAGTAAGCACTTTATATCACTGTTCTTTTTAAACAAAGGCTGAGCCTTGTAGTTCTACGGACTATGATTTAAGAATTTTTATATTGCTATTATTAATTATTTATAGCACAATAGTGTGTATTATTCAGTTTGTATTGGGCTTGCTGTGTTTTGTTTATTATGTATTCCAATGGTATTTCATTTTAAAGAAAAGTTACAATTCGGAACGTGTTTTTATTGTCAGATGCAATAATGATTATATCTTCTAAATGATATAGAAGCACCCGTTGATTAGTCAATTTTTGCATTATGTTATAGTGTCTCGCCAAGGTCAGCCCTTGGCACCACGTCCGCCATCACGACCTACCAGCGGGAGCATAACCAAGAAGAAATCTGGTACAGGTGATGGGGAAAATACCAAGTTTGCTTCCCCAAGGTATAACACGTTTATATAGATAGATCGTCATGCACTCCTGCTTTCTTGTTGTGTGTATATGTGTGTGTATATATATATATATATA